GGTGTTTTTCTTGGAATCAGCTACTTAATCATGAATAACACACTTTCGTTTAGTAAAAAGTTTGAAATCTAGCGAGCAGCAAAGTGTCGGAAATATAATACGATGCATCAAATGTGAGACCTAGATGCATGCCCGTTAGGAATAACACTATGCCGGGTTGATCTGCAGATCAAAAGCGCCTCCTGCATCTTATCCCGGGGATGAGAGCGAGAATTGTATCTACAAATTTAAGTTGGCGCTAAACATGGGAGAAACCAAGAAACAAGAACATGTCTACGATATTCTGGGGTCCTTGCATATTCTATCTTGAACTACTTTGGGTACGAGTATTAGAACTTGCTTCTAAAGCCGTGTTTGATGTACCGTGTCGCCGCCCAGGTCTCGACCAAAACTCTGCGACGTATAGAGTACGACAGTCATTCCGAGAACTCGAAGAAAGTTTAGAATTAGAGATATATTTACAAATCCTGCCGGATCAATATAATAATAGCACACAGTAGCTCCAGCGTTCTGTGGCATTGCTTGAAAGTGATTTTTCGTGCATACCAACTAAAAGAAACACATTGCTTGTACGAACAAACTACCGTATGACCGCTAATTTCAAATAGACAAATCAATTGATATCAATCCATATTCTTCAAAATTCATATATATAGTGCTTGATGTATTGGTGGCGCTGTGCGGTTGTGTTGGATCTATGAAGGCGTTCATATCTAGAATTGCGGGAAACTAAGACTTCACATGGTACGAATTTTCAATCTTAGCTTGGGTTGTTCGAATTCCACTATAAGAGAATCCATTGTGCGCCGCGAATTAGTAAAAAATCTCGCTCTTTTTGTGGCAGCAAAACGACCTCGGAATCCAGCTAAGCTAAGCAGAAAACTGCAGCTCGAAGCGTCGGCGTTGGAATATCCACCATCCAAGGATACCCCAGTCAACATTTCTGAGATGCAACCAATGAGGCAACGCATGTATTAATATATTCCGTCGAGTGTTTCATCGAATTCTCTGGAGTACTTTAGAAAAATATCAGGAGGCTCTGGGGCTGGAAACCGTTCTATATTCTTACAACCCGTAGCCTCTCTCTCAATAGACGACAGCCTTTGGGCTAATAATAATCAGGGTCGAATCTGCGATTTCAGCGTAGAATACCCTTTCTATATTTCTCCTAAGTTTTAATTCTAATTCATGCTCCATAGCTCCAGGCAGCATTCCCAAAAAGATATATTTATCCCTTGCCAAGCGAATGGTCGCCGCTGCGAGTGGCGGTGGGGACGGAACATCCCTTGTGTTTTGATGTCCTGAGATGACGGCTCACGACGCAAGTTTAGCGAGAGGTCCTGCATCGTGCATAGAAACAGCAAATTTCTCGCCGGTTGTGCATCGTCAGAATCTACATGGTAGAGACAAAATGTGCATGTAGTATTCCGAGTCGGTTTTGCATCTATGCCAATATCGACCCAGCCAACGCTGTTAATATCACAAACACTAAATATATTTGTCATTATACTCCATAGCCATTTTACCAAAGTCCACACACTAAATTAAGTTTGTGGGAGCCTCAAATTGTAGCCGATATTGCAGATGTGGCCATGTGGGGGACTGTCCAAGCTGCGCTTTTGTCTCCTACGTAATATCTTCTTAATGGAAAACTTCAGTGGTAGCTTTCGGGCGCTTTTTATTTGTTGACAAGCTGGTCTCGCGGCCACCATGGTAATAGTTCTACCTGGCCTACGAGTCCAGGGCGTATCTTGCAATACTCTTTGTTAATAAGAGTATGATTTGTTCACTGTGGTAACGACGACCTTTATTGTAAATATCCCACATACGAGAATACGAAACAAGGGAAACTTGGATTTGGTTCTCCGCATGATCTGAATAAACAAGTTCAAGATGCCGATGGTTGTTCATAACGTAATTGTAAGGATTCACGATTAATATCCCTCTTCATGACAACTGATTTCGGAGCATCAAACAGCATATACACCTACTGTTTCTACATTCAATTCTGACTCGTTTGAATTGAAAATCTTCGTTTGAATCTTTTCCATGTTATAAATTGCCACAAACTCTTGCAAGTCGAAAATCTGTACCGCCCTAAGCATTGTCTCTGACACATCAAGAGGCAATTACGATGCAAAAAAGACTCATAAAACGGTTCCTTCTCTCGCGATAAACTCCTATGAACTGTTCATTGATGCATTCAAAGGTCTAAGCCACTATCGTATGACTGAGGAATTACGTTGGGCCGTCACGACATCCTAGAGCACATCGGCATCAGTATTGGCCGCATAGTCCCTCATAAAGCACTAAACATCTGTCGATACAATACAGGGTCTGAAAAGAGACTTTCACTCGGGTTACAAAGCGAAAGATCTGGACCTTGGTCCGACAACGAGGAGGCGAGTAGGTACCGGATACTCAGGCATCCGATCTCTATCGACATATCCATGTACATTCGGTGAACTCTCTACAAGGCCCAGCGAACATGTGTATTTTGCCTGTCCATGGCGGGCTCGGCTGGACGATTTTGTAAGGTCATTACTTCCATCGTCCTTCCAGATACAGTCGACAACGCAACAAAGTTGTGGTATTCCGGCGTCAAGGTTCCCTCCGAAATATTTCCTGTTAGAAAGTGGGAAAAGAAATGAGTTTTCGGATTTAAGTGAAAGTCTGGTGAAAACCCCTCAATCTCTGGAAGAGCTTTGCATTCGAAGTAAATTACCGTATCAGATTAAGATTTCCGTTGATAATCCAGTGTTATCGTACGAAACTTTATCACCCCGCCGGGGATAGTTAGCCATGGATGGGAACGATGATGTCGACGGGGAGATGAAGTTTCAACATCTATGTCTACAAAAGTCGGGCGTTTCGTGGCTATGCATATTGCATGGGTAAATTCTCCTAAAAAAATTCCCGATACTTTATCATGCGGATTGAATGTGACGTTCTACAAAGATCCAATGCTACGTTGGGGGGGCTTGTATGCCGATACCGGATTCCCTTGCCTCTACAACGGTATTACCATGAAATAATTCGCATGAGGAGCTGGTGATGTGATAGCCAGTCTCAGTGGCGTTTGGCAAGGGAATTTCAGAAACTGAGCGACGGGGCTCACTCCCGGCTCGACGGGTCAGAAAACGCGGTGTTCCAGCTTCCTCCGCTGAAAAGTTCGGATAGTTCCCAGTATCCGCCCCGCATTTGGCCCCTCCATAAAATTTCTTTATCATTTTAATCGAGAATAGTCCCTTCACCCTCGACCACGGCCGTTATTAGTGTTGATAAACTATTCATGACTAGCTATCGCACGATGCTAGCATGAGACCCTATCAGGGCCAAGCCTGGAGGTAACAGTACTGGGGAGCGTGGTTCGTCTATCGGTCCACCCTAACTTCATGCGTCAAGATCTCTGACAATAATCTAGGGCCCCGGTGGTTTTCCAGGTATGAACAAGGCTTTCCCAACAAAACAGTACCCCCCAGCTAGCTAAATCCCATGTTCTTCGAGCTAGAATATATCTTCCCAGGTTTCGAGAAGGATATGCTTTTCAGCTAATAATACGTTGGTTCGCTGGAAAGTTTACACGAAAGCGGGGTATTTAGTTACTTGTCATTGATCACTTGACGGCAGAGAATTCGGTAAGGAGGGGCAGGTTTAGGGCGATATGACTGGCAACTAATCGATTATGACTATGGCAGACCCCACGGATGCCTAGCCAGCTCTCTGACGTCGTTCTCTCCGCTTATGCATGCGGGTGGTTGCCTATGCATGTGGAAAGCTGGGCTAGCAGAAGCGCTTCGAAGCAGGCTAGCAGTTGAGTAGTTGTAATGTCACAAGCCTTGCAGAGTAGGTTTTTAAGAATCAGGTTACATAATGAGCGACTATTTTATTTGTCCATCTGCAATCTATCCTCCAGTGGACAATACAGGTCTACTACGACGTTATCTAAGTTAAATTTATCCTCAGGATTGGCTCCTAGCTTAGGCGAGATGAGATTAGATCCTATCGCTAGCGATGGGGCAAAATTGGGTTTTGTGAGTTATGTATATGCAATGTCACCTTTTAAATCATACTTTAGAACATAGTTGACAAGCCTAGATATCGGATACTATGCTATGGCTACCCTGGAAATTTAAAATTTTGTGTAAATTTGCAGTACTGTATATATGAATATGACGATACTGGCTATGTAACATATAGTCACAAATTCAGAATTGTAGAATTTCCCAGTTTCTCTAACATATGCATGACAATACCAACTCAAAGGGTCTAATAAATCTTCTACTTAAATTCTACGAGTAGAATGGGGCCTGCGAATCAGTTAGCTCGCTTAATTTCTGATATATTAAGCTTGTAATAGTGATATTGAAAACGGATTAATTAGGTTTACCCAGGAATATTTAGACCGATCTGTGTGACCCCTTATACAGCCACTGTCTAAATTTGTGAACACTCAAATCGGGGATCGGTCTAAGTCTCTACTTCTTAAGAGCAATTTTCAAAGTTACGGTCTAAGTAGCCTCTGCGAATGCATGTGCAGACCTATCGTCGGCTGCCTGAACTTGCTGATAAGTTCCCATATTAATCCAAAGAGTCTAGGTTTTAAGTCAGTAATTCTTTTAGCTAGTAGTAGAGCTTATGATAAAGAAATCATTTATTTTGATGTTCCTTCTACGGCCATGAGAGCTGCCAGAGTCTTTAAATCTATATACAGAATCTCGACGATTTGAATAGTTCGACTAGCTAATAATGAACTAGCTTTCGGACAGCTCTAGAGAATGTGTTTGAGTAAATTTAAACCGGTCTGGAATTATATTAGGGGTTATTAATGTTAGTAATCTGCTATTCGGTGCTTGGTCTCATTAATTTGCATCACCATGGTACCAGGGATGTAATAGTGTATGGCAGGATGTAAAGATCAAACAGTGATGTACGTAAATACAAGCAAGATAAGGAGGAAACATCATACTCCCAGTTGTATTATAATGCTAATGGAGAACTTAGATCTGAAGTTGCGCTGCGAGATCGAGACCCATTGTCACTAGAACCCCCCCGAGAATAAAGTTAGGCACTGTCAAAATCCCACCACCATTTGGTTTTGCGGTAGAACCCGATCCGCCAGAGCTTGAGTCACCGGAATTAGAACCGCCGCCGCCGCTTTTAGTACCACTATAGCTCGAACTTCCGTCATCGTTGACTCTGCCCTGTGAGGTCAAGTTCAAGCATCTTATGCCAGTCAAATTGGAACTAAATGATCCCTCCCCCGTTGCTTGATAAAAGTATACGGCCGCTATATCCTGGTCGATCCTATCGTAGTCTTGATAGGGGCAACATTGTTCATCGTCACCACCAACGGCGTTAGAAACACTTGTTTCGCCCGTTGGGCAGGATTTAGCTCCTACTGAGCCTGTACCGAAGGAAGAGAATGAAGCGTCATGGATTCCGGAAATCGTACCGCAGCTGTTGTTGTAAGGGGCGCCAGGGAGACCGAGATCAGTGACTGTGCAGCAGTAATTCTCTTGTCCGAGCCAGGTGCCGCAAAGACCTGTCGTGAACTTTGAACCAGAAACACTACAGTATCGGTCCGTTCCACAGGACTGAGTATTTGGACCTGAGATGGTATTTGGAGGCCTGATTTGGACAAAGATAGTCATTGCGAGGGGGTTCAAGCGTTTTCTTGAAGTCTCTAATAAGCCGTAAGAGCTTAAGGTTGATTGACCTGAGAAGGTAAATTCGATTCCCAGAGTGTATATATAATGAGAATATATCGACTAGGAAGTGCTAAGGAGGGTATATGTCGGCAGCAATAAAAAAATTTAGGAACTAATTAAAATGCTTCAAATTCAAGATCTCTCAAGAAGCTTGAGATCGATACAATTTTGTGGGTGAGAAACGAAGCCATTAGTTTGGTCTTGGTGCAGGTCAACCGATATTAAATACTCCTGAATGAATATCACCACCTCACATTTTGCGGCACCGCTGTTCTTACTTAGATTGAGGTTGAGCGGAAAGTACCGATCGCCTAGCAGTTGGTCGGAATTTTAGCACATCGCTCATGAGATTGATTAGTGATTTTTGGAAACCTTTTAGCTGTGGGATCAAGCCTCTGGACGCCATTTGGGACTCATTGATCCTGAATTCGTTTTAGCGACTGCGGCTGAAGATTATGGATCCAACCACAGCACTGAACTCTTGAAAACTCGAAGCAGCTTTATAGGAAAATTAAGCAACAACCCAAGATTCTTGGGAAGCTTATTCTTCAGCCCTGGTTACACAACGACTATCTTTGGTACTTAGAGAGCCGGGGTATATGTGGAGGGCCGATCTGAGGAAAATTCATTGTCTAAAAGTTAACCCTATGATTGTTTATGATTTCATCATGAGCTACCAATGCGCAAGAGTCTGGCTCTAGATCTACTAGCTCCGAGTAAAAACAACAAGATCGTGAATTTGCTATCCCGAGACGTTGTGGCCGAACCCAGCCAGGCCATAGAGCGGAATTCGGCGATGCTTCAGCCCAAAAATGTCTCAAATTAAATATCGGCCATTGCTGGGACTAGGTCTAGCTGAATTTTGTAAATAGGGGTGCAAACGGCTGTAGAATGGGGGAGGCTCGACGGTAAGGGAAAATTGAGAAAACTTATCGGGATTTTAATTAAGAGTTTTTACAAGATAAATATGACTTGATTCGATTCCAATGACAAAGCTCGAGATCACTGCTATCCTACATGCGCATGCGCGCATATGCGTGTGCTGCATGGTGTACAATCGGGTTAAAATAGTCTCGCGAGATGTCAACCAGCTGAGGTTGTGTAACCAACACGTAAACACAAAATTTACCACACTTTAACCTATGCACGCCGGGTATTCCAGTCCTGAGACAGCCGAGACCAAGCACGCCGCAGACGGGTACCCGGCTCTGCCAAAGTACCGAGATCAACTTTTACCATTGCTCCCCTGCCTCGACCAGAATTAATAGTCACGAACTTAATATAATTCAGGCTCATGATTATATTAATTATATCAATGCAATGGACGCGATAAAAGCCGAGCAGATATAACATAAATGACTAAACCTCAAGAGAAATATGAGTCAAATTTAGATTACTTTTCAATTAGAAAGGATAATACCTAGTATTCTAGTATTGTCTTCTTATCCTTCGGAAATCTATATTGTAAAGCAGGGATTTGTAATAACCAAATCCAAGACCGATCTTTTTAAACAACGATTGCCCCACGATTGTAGCTAGTCGCGAACATCGATATATCACAGCTAGCCATGGTTCGAGGTCCGATAGAGGTTTAGGCCTGGACATGTCCTTCTAACTAGGATGAATCACAATAATATAATATTATAATAAGTCTTTTATTCCGGAAACTTTGAGGCTGATCGGTTTCAACCTCCTCACAACCTTGTTAATAAGATGACTTTAATTAGTGCTCGTAGTTTAATATTGAATATCTCTTTATTGTTCTAGATCTCTGTTATCCAAGTTTCACCGATGGGTCTATATACATCTGCCTCAGCCATAATGTCTTAAGTGATCAGCTGAGCCTACGAGAGGCTTACCTAGCTAAGGCCAAGGATTCAGAAGTGTTTGTGCTTTCGAACAGTGGATCCATAGCAGTCCTCCCGAACTCCCAATCGTTATATAAGGAACTGAGGTTATATTGCTCCATCTGCGTATGCAAGGAGGTTGACCGGTTAGTTATTGTTTGCTGCATACACAAAATGCATTTAACGCACAATAGAGCCCTCGGATTTCCGAATTTCTGACTAGCATCATATGATTCTGGCTGAAATTTCCCTACCTTTTCTTTTGCACCCGGGCAATGGCCGAACCCACTTCCTATGCTATGTTTAATGCTAAGCCCATTGATAGCCAATAGGAAAGGTTGCCTCGTAGCGTCGTCACAGACATTGCATTGGCCACGCTCGGATGAACTTCGGAATATCTACTACCACATCACAACGCGAAAGGTCTCCTTCTCGACCCGGGCTATAAATTTCCCCGCGTAACCCCAGATTTTAATTCTGGTCTCCCAATGCTCCAAAATTCATATCATAGGGGTTTGTAGGTTTTTCAAATTATTCTAGGTTGGTTACTAATCTAGATATTTGTGGCTTAAACTCCAAAGCGAGAATGTCAACACAGACTGGGACCATTACGGAGGTCGTGCCTCACGTCGTAATTAATGCGTCCTCGAAGACGATTGATTTCCAGCCTCATGAGGAAATCGAGTTGAATACACGGGCGCCGTCTTTTCAGTCCGGCAGAGCGGTATCGGAAGATGAAGGCATCAAGTTGACGAAAGATACCATGTTCAAGCTCTTAAGCGCTGGATTTTCGTTCTTTTTTGCCGGAACGAGTGACGGTTGCCTAGGAGCTTTGATTCCATATATTCTCAGGACTTACCAAATCAATACTGACATGATAGCTGTCATGTAGGTATTTAGGCTTAACTTATCTTGTGGCGGCTTCACGACTTAGCTAATCATCTAACGACAGATTTGCGGCGTCTTTTGGCGGGTGGGTGGCGGCAGCCTTGACTAACAGCCACTTGCTGAAGTATCTCGGATTCGGTTCGATTTTGGCAATTGGAGCGTGCATTCAGCTTCTAGCTCATGTTCTCCGAGTGTGGACCCCACCATACGCCCTTTTTGCTGTATCGTTCTTCCTCACTTCCTTGGGACAGGCGTATCAAGACTCGCACTCAAACACATATGTGAGCGGTGTGAAGGGTGCCCACCGATGGCTCGGGTTCATCCATGCCATGTATGCCCTCGGCTTGTTGGTTTCCCCTTTTGTTGCTACTCCTATTGCCGTGGCGAGACCTGACAGGTGGGCTTTGTTTTACGGCTTTTTGATTGGCCTGGGTGTTATTAACATTGTTGCCGTCTTATTTGCCTTTCGGGATTCTTTGAAAGTAATCCATCGAGCAGAACCAATAGTGGAGGGTGAAAACACAAGCAGGGGTAAATCTGCGGTTGAAGAGATTAAAGAAACATTGGGAATGCGAGCTTTGTGGCTCCTAAGTTTGTACTTCTTTCTGTTTTTGGGTGCTAGTGTGACCGGTGGTGGTAAGTATTGCTATTGATTCTTTACCTTAAAATCTTTGTTGCAAGTAGGTGCTGATACAAATCGACCATAGGATGGAGTGTGGAATTCTTGGTTCGAATCAGGGGGGGAGATCTCTCGAAGATGGGTTATGTACCGGCCGGCCAAAACGGTGGATTATTCCTTGGGAGACTTCTCCTCGCCGAGCCGACGAAGAGGTTTGGGGAGAGACGTATGGTGTTAGTGTGCTGTATCCTGACACTAGCGGCACAGCTTGTGTTTTGGCTTGTCCCGAACATTCCGGCCAATATTGCAGCGATTTCGTTGGTGGGATTCTTTTCGGGCCCGTTTTTTGCTACGGTATACTCTATTTCTCAGAAAACGGACTTGTGTTTGAGACCTAGAAATTGATCATATTCATTTATAGGGAATATCTGTGGGTTCCAAACTTTTTCCGAAACGACTACAACCGACAGCCCTCGGTAAGCCCCTTCCTTCCTTAATATCCCAATATTAACGGATCTGGAGTTTGCTAATCGTAGTATCTTAAAAATGACAGGCCTTGTATTTGCCCTGGCACAAGCTGGAGGTTCACTATTCCCGGCATTGACTGGTGTTATTGCGAGTAGGGTTGGTGTCCAAGTGCTGCAACCTATTATGACAGCACTTCTAGTGGCCACTGGTATTAGTTGGTGGCTGGTGCCCAAAGTTCATCATAGAAGTGAGTAAGCATGGTACCCAATTTTTTTTCCTGCGAAGTCTGGTTTGAGACAAATGGTACTTTAAAATAAGCGTTAGAAATGATAGGCATCTACTAGCTACCGCGCATGCATCCGGATGAATTTCTATACTGCATAAACAAGTACCTAGTCGACTCAGGTGCTAGCATTAGTGGTGCCTCCAGACCACATGAGTGGGATGTTTTTCAAATAATACTATTTTTAAAATCAGACAATTGTTCCTATTCCAGCAGTATTTATATAGGTTTAAAGATTTTGCCAAGATTTTGTACAGACAAGTTCTTTTATTGGGCCCACCACTTAAGTGCTTAACTCATGTTTAAAGACATATCGATAGAACGATAGCCAGAATCGAAATAGTGTTAGTTACGGCAAATCATAGAGAATGTCCAGACTAAAAGAATGTTGCATTCTATGCGTTGTCTTCGCCTTATTTACCAAGATATAACTATAGGTGAAAGCTACCGACAAGAATTATTCTCCGAGTCTGATATTTATGAGTTTAACGTGGAAATGGAGCCTTTCACAATGACTATAAAAGTTATATGATCCTTGGCACTCTTGTCTAGCTTCATTCACTCTCAAAGGAGCTACTGATCGAAAAAATGATCCCTGCGACACTAGTGTAGTGAGCCTTTGTGGGCGTAATATGGCTGTGTTCTCTATTTTCCCAGTGCCACTTATCAGAACTGCAGTATTCCACGTATACAAATCGACTATTGGGCTTCTATCGGTCGAGAAAGAGCCCTAATTCATACATTTTTAGCTATTTCGACTCCAAATAAACCGGCCAACTGTAGGAGCAAACGTTGCAAAACGAGCAGATAGTTTTCTACATACCTATCGGATCAATTTAATAGTATATAACTAAATTAAATCTTAATATAGTATATTTTCAACTTTTACAGCTTATAGTTAAATGTCTGGATCTGATTGCCTTTATTTTATCTCTTATAATAGGTCACTTTTGTATTATTTACGATTGACGTCGTACAGTGAGTGGTTGAAAGACTTGATTATGAACTTGAATATTTTGACCCAGCGAGAGAAAATATTAATATTTAGCTGCAAATATGCCTATTCCATAAACGCCTTAGAATAAATCAAACGAGATGTATATATTTTCCATGCCTAGATAATTTAGCTTTTTTTCTTTTAATCATGGTCTCGTCTTTTTGAAAATGGGAGTCGTCAAAGGTGTTGCCTGCACTATAATGCCCCAGAATGCAACAACCTTAATCCTCAGCTTGTCGTTATTATCCGACAGCCCACTTTCGCAGCCACCTTCGAACGAAACAACCAGCACATTTTGCATGCACCGCATCTCAGCCAATAGCAGCCAGACATCGTCCCAGTTTAAGCACTAGTGGCCTCATATCGATAGCTCTAGCCTCTTAGGATCTTTCCAGAGCCCTTCTCTAACCATCCGAACCCCTCCAGCTCTAGCAAGTCTACCTGCGTGTGAGCTTTCCACCACCCTGGAAGCTCATCCTGGACCAACACCACCCAATATTTCGCAGCCAAAAGCGCCAACCGCCCGGCGGCACTCTCGTTCCTCTTCAACAAACGTATTTCCTGCACAGCTACTTTCTGAACTCAAGGCTCAGTCGGAGTCGATTGTTGCAGGACAGTTAGTCGCGGCAGGTGGGCTGCCTTCTTCTTCTTCCGCCGTCATAACCGACGACAACGAGCCCTCTTCCGACACCCTTGTTCCTCAACCCACCCTTGCCACCTTATACGCCGGCTTTCAGGAATCCATAGATTCATCGACATCTACTAGCAGTAGGACACCAACTGCTGCACCTTACATTCCGAGGAGACCTAGTGCTGAACCTTTGACTACGGGACCGATGAGCCTAGGCGAGAGCGGCTCGAGTTCAGGTGGGGGGCCTGATGAGTGGTTGGAGATGGCAAAGAAGTGCAAGTACTTGCCGGAGAGTGATATGAAAAGACTATGTGAGTTGGTAAAGGAATGTTTGATGGAAGGTATGCTACTTAATCTTGCCACTACTTCTTGGCCTTGGTCTCGTGAATACTTTAATTGACATCACGGCCTTAAGAATCGAATATTCAGCCTGTAACATCTCCTGTCACCGTTTGTGGTGATATTCATGGACAGTTCTATGACCTCATGGAGCTCTTCAGGGTCGGCGGCGGTTTCCCACCGGATATCAACTACGTCTTCCTTGGCGACTTTGTCGACCGTGGCTACTTCTCCCTCGAAACATTCACATTACTAATGTGCCTGAAGGCCAAATATCCTTCCCACATAACGCTCGTCCGAGGGAACCATGAGAGTCGTCAAATTACACAGGTTTACGGCTTCTACGAGGAATGTCAGACAAAATATGGAAATGCAAGCGTCTGGAAGAGCTGTTGTCAAGTCTTTGACTTCTTGGCCTTAGCAGCTATCATTGATGGAAAAGTTTTGTGCGTTCATGGAGGGCTGAGCCCTGAAATCAGGACGTTGGATCAAATTAGAGTGGTTGCACGAGCCCAGGAAATTCCTCATGAGGGTGCCTTCTGTGATTTGGTTTGGAGTGACCCGGAAGGTAAGAATAAGGACTGAGGCCCTTTATAGTATACCTTTGCTGACCGATACCGTTAGATGTGGATACCTGGGCAGTCTCACCAAGAGGTGCTGGATGGCTGTTCGGTGATAAAGTTGCAACGGAGGTAAGTTTGCATGCCTCCATTTATTACTTAGTCTCTTTGAACTAACCATGGTATACAGTTTAACCATGTCAACAACCTGACGCTCATAGCAAGAGCTCATCAGCTTGTTAACGAGGGATATAAGGTAATAGATTCACCCCCAATATCTTTTGACAAAAAATTCAGAGCTAAATTTAGTTTCCTTGTAGTATCACTTCAAAAATGCCGTTGTCACCGTCTGGTCGGCACCTAATTACTGTTACCGATGTGGTAACGTGGCCAGCATAATGCAGGTCAAAGAAGATTTACAACCAGAATTTAAGATCTTCCGCGCAGTTCCCGATGACCAGAGAGCTGTGCCACCAGGACGAGCCGGAAGGGGGGAGTACTTTTTGTAACACATTTATCATTCTAGTTTTCTCAAGATATCGGTCACGGAACGAGCTCTTATGATTGGCCTGATGTTGAGCATTTGTACAAAGCATATTACACCAGCGAAATTTGGGTTTTCTAACTATACGTTTAGAGGATATCAAGCAGACTCGAGGGGTTGTCGCTTTTATTGCGTGTTAATTGGCGACCTCTTTTTATTTACTAACGATTTCAAGTTACGATGCTAAATAATGCAAATTATGCTACTCGGGAATGGCCTAGGGCTTTTGTTACAGGTGAATAGAAACGGGATTTAAGCGTTTACAACATACATGCAAATAAGGAAAGGACTAGAATATCACCAGTCGGCAGCAAATCCCTTTCCATCTAGCTTCCAGAGGATTTCTCCTAGACCGCCTGAGGTGGTTCCTACAACTAAAATACCCAAGAACAATCCCATTAGAAAACAGGCGAGATATCCCCAAACCCTTAAGAGCACCACCCACCCTTCCACCGTCCTTGTCCATTCTCCTTTCATCCTCCTTGCATTTCTTAGCCCGGGTAGTCCGTCCAGACTCCTCACGTTGTTGTTCACTTGGTACTCTCCCAGCTTTCCATTGTCCACCTGCTTCTGACCCCAATTATTTAAAGTATCCCTATCCTCCCATTTACCTTCCAGAAAGAGAGGGACACCATAACCACATGATGTTTGTACTTTAAATACATCGCAATAGATGATAGCTCTCGCAGTGGGTATCCCCTTTCCATTGCTCTTTTCCCCAGTGCCAAGACTCGGGAGGAGTAAATTATACTCCGCAGTTCCGTGTTCTACAACCCGACCACGACAGAAAAACCGAAGAATGCGAGGACTTTGATCGAATGAGCAGAGCATTATGGTAATTCGACCATTTTCGTAGAGATGGGAAATGGTTTCGCAACCGGATCCCGTAGAGTCAAGGTAGAGAAGTGTGGATTCAGTCGGGATGGCGAGAGAAGATGTTGGAAGACCCTTTGGGGAAATGTTTATATGAGAACCTTTGAGGGGGGCACTAGCAGTGAAGAAGAGAGGTTGAGAGAGGGCCCAGGTTTTGAGGTTTGAGGGGATGGTTTTGTAGTATTGGGGCATGTTGACGATTGAATTCCTTTGATCTATCGGTGTCTTTTTGTATAACAATCTCAGCCCACAAGATACATCGATGGATGATTAATGAACTGAAAGCTGATTCACACGATCGGGACTCTCTCGGCCTTTATATAATGTCGAACCCAAAGCGATCCGGCAAAATGCCTGTTAATTTGTTTTTTACTTCCTCGGAATGCAATGCTGTCTTGCATGCATTAATACTGATGCATTGGGACAATTGACTGGTATCGTATGAGTCGAATTCTGCAGGTTCTGTTGGAATTTGTGTGTTGAGAAAACCCGGCTTTCGGAGCGAATATTAATGTCGTTTGATATTACTCCGTATTAGTACATGTAATACTCTATTTCAGTTTGTATAGAAAAGCAGAACTGGGAATAAAAGCGAAAGACTGCAGCATATATGCTCAAGTATTCTCCGGATATATAATAAACTTAGCCGAAGATAGTACCATACATGTGTACTGCCCGAGTAGTCTGGGGCTGTCCGAGCGGGGAATCCATTGCATTTAGCGTTCAAATATTGCAAATGGTCATGCATTGTCCCCCCGAAGTCGGATATAATGATGGTGGGCGTGGGCTTGCACTTGTTCAACGTACATGGTCGCTGATTCGATGCAAGAGAACCGTATATGATATTGTATGGCAATTGAAATCCTTTGTATCAAGGTAAGAAACTACAATATGTTTAAGTGGACTCTTTGGGAAATGCAGTATTGATACGTATTGTATATTGGATATGTTGTCTGTCACGTGACCATCATCGGATTGTCGCTCGCTTGGACTCAGTTCACATCCCACTCTCGCGACGCTTGGCTAAAGCTGCATGCAAAGCCTCGTCCAACCATCAACCATCCTCCATCCTCTCATCACCTTGCATCCTCTCCGATCCTCTCCAAATCCCGGCTGCAATGGCGACACCGGGTCTCATCAAGATCAGAACCCGCGGGAAAGGGTCCGCGATCACAGTTTTGCAGCAAACATCAACATCAGCGTCACAGCCGTCTGTCGCACCGGCTGCAGCACCAGCGCCGGCCCCACCACCGCCAGCGCCGAAGCTCAAGATCGTGATTCGACATCTACCCGCCTCTATGACCGAGCAGGAATACAACGTTCTTACCGCTGATGTTATAAATAAGGATACAGTTGAATGGTCTTCTTTTATACCTGGCAAGGTGCCTCAAGAGTAATATGGCTTTAAATCTCCCATAATAAATAATGCAGCTACAGTAGCTAACACATCATCTTAACCATAAAACAGCCGCAACAAACCCACAACTTTCTCCATCGCACATGCCAGAGCTCGATCTACAGAAACCCTCATCCAAATCAAAGCCGGCTTGAACGGAAAGCCACTGACAGACTCCCGAGGACAAGAATACGCCGTACAAGTCGAATTTGCGCCATTTCAAAAGTTCCCACAACAAAAAGGCCGCCTACGGCACGATGCTAGAAGCGGTACTATCGATAATGACCCGGATTTCATTTTTTTCTTAGAAAATCTAAAACATACGGGGCCAAATGCTTCGAGTTCGGCTAAAACCGAAGGGGATGGTGATAAATCAAAAGAGAAAGAAACGAAAGTTTACAAAGACCCACTCGCGGCTCCTGTACCATCGTATGAGGCCCCAATCATGGAGCCTGGCTCTAAGGTCACTACTACGCCGTTAGTCGAATTTATCAAGCAGCAGAAACTTGCTCCGAAGATTAAGGAGAAGGGCAAGGGCAAGGCTGCTGTTCTCGCTGCGGAGGAAGATGATGCCAAATCGACTACATCATCGGGCGGTGGTAAGAAGCGAGAGAGGGATCGGAAACGTCGACGGGAAAAGGAAAAGGAACGAGAGAAAGAGAGGGAGAAAGAGAAAGTCTCGCAACAGGCGGCTGGCTCGTCTGGAGAAAAAGGCAAGAAGGTAGATAAGAAGTCTTCGAACTCCACTCCCGCATCGGCCGCTGCCAGTGCTCCGGCGACAACATCAGGCAAGTCTTCAACCGAGCCGCCAGCTAGACCCGCTAGGAGAGAACGAGGTAACGCAGGATTATCTGCCGCCGCCATTCTTCAAAGGGACCTGGGTCTTACAACTAGCGGACGAGGAAGAAGAAACAGAGGGGCTGAGTCGACATCCGAGAAACCAGCTACAGCCTCATCTGCCACTACGACGGTTACCTCACCGTCGTCGAATGCTACGGCATCGACAAACTCTCAATCTACTCCATCGGCACCGGCACCGGCACCGGCATCATCATCAGAAGTGAAACCAACACCAGAACCTGCTGCCACTACAAAACCCGAGGGTAGTAAGAGGCCAAGAAACAGGAACAGGGATAGAGATAGGGATAGAGATAGACGCAAAGATGAAGCAACTGCAGCTTCATCCACGCCAACCGCTCCCACATCTACTCCGAGCCAAGCCAGCAGAACCGAAGCAGTCGCCGGAAATACCGATCAAAACACTACTTCTAACCCAGCCACGGTAACCCCAGCGCCCACACAGCCTGTAGCTCAGCCTCAAGCTCATAGGGGACGGGGTAGTAGGAGAGGTGGTAGAGGCGGAGGACCAAACAGAGGACCCGCACAACAAGCAACTTCGACTCAAGCAACGCCACCGCCCCCAACAGCCCAGGCTTCTGAGCCTGCTGCGTCTTCAACTACACCAGCGCCAACTCCCCAGTCTTCTACAGCTAGTATCCCAACAGGTCCAAAAAGCATGCAACAAGCGCCTGCGAACAACAACAACCACCATCACGGACCTCCACGAGGAAGAGGAGGACGGGGTTTTGGACCGTTCGGCCCGTTCGGGCCTAGGGGTGGTCGGGGTCGAGGGAATGCGAGGGGAGGGGGGAATCAAGGGGGTGGGGGCGGAAGTAATAATGGCGGTGGCTCTAATGCTAATTCTGGGACCAATAATGCCGCGTAGGCTGCTAGCACTACTTAATTACTTGCATGGGAAAATGCTTATCCAGTAATACTTTTGATGTGCATAAGATGTACTACATGTTACCATGTCAAGATTTTGATAAATCTGTTCCTCCATGATCAGAGGTTGGAATGGCAATCGACGGGCAAGAATAGCCTCGTAGAAAGAGCCGAGAGGGGGTTATTCTCAGGCAAACAAATGGTGAGGCAGCGGAGCCTAATATCCACATCGTACAAATACAGTCGGCTGGCTAGCAACTTTAGTCTAGTGCGCCACCAACCCTTATTCTTTCCGCCTCTTGTTCTTCTTCTATCGCCTCTGTCTCTCTTCGTAATTGTTCCAGATCCCATATGTCCGCCTTGCCCTTACCCTTGCCTTCGACTTCTTCCTCGCTGCTCTCCGCCTCACTATCATCGTCTTGCCAGCCACCCTTCTCGAACAGTTCCCTACCGGTTTCCTCTTTCCTCCGCCGTAGCTCTTCCTCTGCAGCCTTCTTATTCAGCCTCTCAGCCTTCCACTTCTTGAATGTTTCTTCTGTGACGGGTGTTAGAGTGCCCGTAAGCTTGTGTCTCTCGGTTTCCAAGAAGTCCTCCATTGTCAGCGTTCTGTTTGGATTCTTCTCCAGTTCCTCCCTCTCAAGGGCTCGCTGAGCAGAAGTTTTTACAACAAAGCCTGGTGGAAGAACGTGTCTATATTTACAATCGGCACCGCCCGGACCTATTGATGTACACCAAATTAGCGCTCCTCCATCATCGGATGCATGTAGAATCAGAGCCCTTACAATTCCAAAACCAACCATACTTTCCATCTTCGATAGCCTGGATAAAGTATTTGCAGACAATATCTGTTGTGGTCTTGGGATTTCCGTGTTTTGACATTACGACCTCCCTTAGCTTGGCTTCGTCCCAATTTTCGGATGTCTCCTGTTTAGCATCCACAGCCCCAGAAGACCCTTCGCCACCATCCTCGTACAGCGACCTTTTCTCTGTCTTTCTTTCTATGCTTAAATCGTGCGAGAATTTGCACTTTTTACCTATACATTTATTGAATTAGCTCGCCGTCCAGCCAACCCTCCCACATATATAACTTTTAAAAAGGCAAGAACATACCCTTTTCACAAGTACCCTGTTTAAAAAACACACAGACTACGGACTTTGGATCCACTCCAAAAGGGATTTTCTGCACCTGCAAAGGCTTAAACAGAGATGCAGCTTCTTTCTTTGCATCTTCAGCAGCCTTTTTCTCAGCTAGTTTTGCAGCCTTTTCGGCTGCTTTCCGTTTCTCTTCAGGTGAAGCGCCATTTACAGCTTGTGATGCTATCTGTTTGATTTGTTTTTGCGCTTTTCCGCCTTTTTTCTGTAGAGAGGTGGGGTGTTAGTCGAATCCTGCTGTCGGGTCTGGAGAAGCGAAGGGTGGTGGGTTGGGTGGGTGGTATACGTTTTTCATGCCAAAGGTCTATAGAGGAGAGAGTTAGCTATTTCATATCATTCAGACATACGAGAATGTAGTTAAACGGAGCATAGAAATACCTTATCATCCACCGTCTTCTGGGCCTTCTTTGGCTCTGGAGCTTTCTTCGGAGGCATTGTGGCGGTTTGCTTGCTTCCTTTTGGAAGTTTTGGTCTTGTGGGGAAAAGTAGTGTAGTGCAATGTCGGCCCTTCGAAGGCGAGTTTTTCGATTAGATCCGAACCCAGAGCTGGATGGTAACGAGGGATATTCGGAGTTATGAAGGTGATGCGAGTAGGTCGGGGTTCGGTAGATGGTTTGAGCTCGAGGTCATGAGATAGAGGAATGGTGAGAGAGAACTGAATTGCAGTTTGTGGTGGTGCAGAGAAGGGCGAGTCACAAAATCAGCTACTTTCGGCCCCAGAATTTTCAGCTAAATTACCGAATCTGGTAATTTATTAAAACATTGCCGAATCAGGTAATTTTGATCGCGAACCCAACAACCAACGTCAGTTTCCCCGTTTGCTTAACACGTAAACCACTTTCCCGTCTCCCTCAATTGCAACCCACCATATCTTCAAAGTTCCACAATCAGTCTTCACAATCGAAGTAAAAGACTACGAGATATATTCCATCGAAATCGGTTTTTTAACTCCTAAAACGCGATAATAGTCCTGATTTCTGCCCCCGAAATACCGAAATCCCCACACAATGATCACAGATAACGAACTGAACTCCCTTACCATCTTCCTCGGAAGTGTCATGATGGGCCTCATCGTACTATACCACTTCCTAGCCGTCAATGCCAAAGCAAACAATAGATTGGAATAGATGGAGCATAGGCCGGGAATATGCTAGGGAATAGTCTTTAAAAGAAGGGGGACATACGGAATAATAGTAAGAAATACACATGAAAGTAGTAGTTGGTGTGGTTTAAATATCCATGCTAATGTTCCTCCTCACAGTTTAGCATTGGTACTTTTCCAGAGACACCTTCGCAGGACTGATTGGAGCTTGGTAATCCATGGCATGGGAAGAATGCGGCTTCAAGAGGGGTATTCTGGGGAGATGAAGGAATATTAATCCATCTGTATATCACTATTACTTGGGCGCTATCAATGTTTATTTTCTGTTTGACGCTTTTAGGAGCACGAAAAGAAAAAAGAATAATCTGGTTATTGCAATTTATCGATATCAGGCGGTCAAGGTTCAGCAAGAATCAGTGCTTTTCCAAACGCTCAAATTGAAAGTCTCCGTTGGAAAATATCCATGTCCCAACTTTTGCTATTAGACTAAAGGACACAGGGGGAGCCTTCAAGTCGTATGGAAGACCCTTATTGCCTGGTTGAAGTTGTTTAAACATGATAACCGATTTAATTAGATACAGGAATCTTCGGACCGGACATGACTTTTTGTACTAAATACATGGTAGCTTAACTCACATAACTACATAACTACAATCTTGAAGATACGATTAAACCAACTTGAAACTGCATACCCTTCTAAGACGCCAAAATCAATCTTCGAAAAGAATACCGAAATACAAAGCCTTCGCTGCGACATGATATATCCACAAATTAAGACCTAACGAGCACCGCAACTTCAGAAACAGAGGTAAATTACATAACAAATTTTTTGATTGGCCTTTTTTCTTCTTCTTCTTTTCCCAACGTAGGCCTATAGAGAGTCTTATAGTTTTATTTCGATTAAATGTAAAAGGGATATCCTGGGGATCTAACACCGTTGTGAGAAACCAATGTCATGTCAAAGCTTCTTATTCATGCTACGGCTCACATAAAAAAATTAGTAACCCCCAGGTATGACCAAGCTATCGGGAACAAGATTGTTAGAACTTACCTAAGTACAGACCTACACTATGTCTTATCCTGGCTCATATCATCTCCAGGAGTGAAGTACGGCTTCGGAACCGTATTATCCCACACGCATTTTTCGGGATCTTTTGCATCGGCTGTTCCACAAGTCGTCTTGAAGTTATTACCAGAACTGCATTTCAAATCTTCCTTACTAACCGAATCTATGACAACCGCCCATCCCTTCTCAGCATTCGAAATGATGCCATTGAACCTAGCCTCCCTATTCACAGGGACGCCCAGATTTTCATCCCAGTAATTGGGAAACCTCGGCTGGAATGAAAGAGGCATATTGATTTTCTCAATGTGTGGTGAGTATGTCAGAGCATCTTTAGTTTGTTTAGTTGCGGCTTTTTTAATGCCATGGAGGAAGGGGCTTCCCGGCTTTGGCATCGGCTGTTGAGGGGCATTATACGAAGTTCCACAAAAGGTGATAGCGTCTGGTTGATAAATCAAGTTGTTGAAGTTAAATGATAGCTCTGCTTCCCAGTTTGGTCTAATGGCTTGCAGCAGGAAGCTTAGGAGGGCTTTCACTTCTGCAGCACGGAAGGACATAACCCCCGTCACAGGCTTTATATTGCAGAGTCGAAGAACTCCGTAGTCTCCAATACATTTTGCTTGGAAACATCCACTCCTGTCGATATTGTAAACGTTACCATCGGGTTGCTTTAGGATGTTGACTAAGTCTTTGACAGCAACTCCTTGCATCGTTCCTTCTGGTAGGCTTTTACAGTCGATACTCGCTGCATTAGAATCTCCAAAGATGGCTCTGAATTTCTTTAAATCAATGATATTTGTTGGGGAGAGACTATCTGTGTTTGTTGTAGGAGATCCACTTGGTTCCGTCTATAAGAATAGTAATTGATAAATCATAATTAGCTTTAAATCAAGTGCCTCCGAAGATTTGCATGTATCTCGCGTGGGATGAGTATTAATTTAAAGATGAGAGTTTGATATACATACCGTATACATTGGTTCGTCATAGACACTAGTTCTAGTTTTGTATGGGTGGCTATCGTCCCACTTACTGGTAGGAGTTGTCCAAGTGGGTGGATACAAACTCGTACTCTTATAATAATGACTAGAGTAAGTGGAGGTGTGAGTGTATTCACTCTCATCATCGGTCCAATAGGCTGTACTCTTGGTGCTAGTAGAGCGAGAACTGGTCATTTTAACAGTGCTAGTGGTAGTCTCATCCATATAATCCATATCGTCGTCCATAATAGAAGTTGGCGTAAACTTATGACCACTACTAGTGGTGGTGATGGTGGTGGTGGCATGAGTACTAGTGTTCTGTACGGTGGTCGTATACCCCATAGTCGTGTCGTCGTCGTCATCATAAATAAACTTCGTGAGACTAGTGGTGGTACGAGGGCTCGTATAAGTGTATTTAACAGTAGTCGTCTCGTTGTCATTTTCCAATGGATCATCCTCAAAATCTAGATCGGGATTACCGGTACCAGTAGATTTCGGGGTAGGGGCATCGGCATCGGCCGCCAACAAAGCAGTGGTTGTGGTCTGGGCTGCGGGGTCAGCAAAGATAGTGGTAAAGACTGGACGTAGAAGTTCCCTGGTGTCGGTTTCGAACGTTTCTGTTTTACCAGTAGACTCATCCCTAGCCTTGAGCTTTGCAGCCGGCAAAATTGGAGTGGGTGTAATCACTGGGGTTGGCTACGAAAATAATTATTAACACATGAGATAAAGTCTTCGCAGGATGACAGTAGGGTCGGCTGTTGGGAAATATTTGTCTCCCACTGTACTAAAATTGTACTAAAGTACTTAAATGCTTTGGCAAAGAAGGAATTACAATAAAACTCACTTGTGCAATTTCGTCTTGAAAGAAACGTCGAGCATGCCTCCCAGGGCTCCTAGCTAGAGTTCCGGTCGCCAGGACTGCAAAACACACCACGTGCACGGAGAGTTTTGAGAATAGCATCTTGAAGTTTGAGTAGGATCGGACACTCTACCTCTCAACCAGAATCCCGAGTTATGTATACGTACGTGCTCGACTCTCAAGATACTAGCACGAGATCAGAACAGCGGAAGAGATGGAGGGAAGTAAAACCTTTCAAAAAACAATCAATTGAATGAACAATATACGAAGTACTATTGAAACTACCTTTAATATAAGTGAACACCGAATGCTTAATTGGGGCCCCTTTGGCACAACAGATGGAAGCTTTCCAGCAATAGTGTCCTAGTTGATAGTTTCGATTGAACATGAGCTTGAAACAGAAGAATATAGCCTCTATATATACATATTTATGTATACATACTCTGTGCCTAAAGATACAAAGGCATAGCAATACCGATTGCCTCGAGTTAACTATTTTCAAAAATCCGGTATTCAACCAATTAATCACCCAGACCCAATTTCATTTAGTATAGTTTTTATCATGATCAATAGCAAACACGTCACGGCTCTGTATCATCTATGTACCAGCTCTCCCAGTACTATAGTTTGTTTATTGAAACAAGAACTCGGTCTCCCTAAGGCACAGCTAATTGCGGGGAGGTGCAAGACATATTATATTCATGAACACAGTTCGATGTTAGAGGCGCTGCACAGGCTTAACTGCGCAGATATTCGAAGTAAACACTCCCATTTTTTGAATTCGTACTCCTAAAGGCAGGCTCGATCAACCGATAATAACTCCCATGAATTCAAAGTTGGTTGATGTCAAAGTCTAGTCTAGACCGCTCGTCGGTAATCCAATGCGGAAGATTTACCACAGCCCCCAAAGTGCCTCGAGGCTCCTACCAATCTTAAAACATGCGTGTGTGTAGGACACCCCCTATTTGACGCCTAGGAGATCTATAGTTTTGTACGCTGCCATAAATAAGCATGAGCAGACAGTGAAGTTGGTCTTGCAGTAATTAAGCTGAAGAACGTTAACTGACATGCCACTCACATATACAACATTTTGATGAAACCCCGCACGAAAATTGCATTATGCACGAAGTACAGTTGTTTGAAACTATTCAAAATCGATGCTGCGTTAATTTTGCCGTCAGGTTGAAATGTTGGAAGCTTCGAATTGCGAACATATAACTCTGCTAATGCTGGAATTGCGCCTCATAACATGTGGCCCGGAATATTCAGGCTCGGGCTTTCGAAATTTCGGTTTACTGACCTGGACTATCCCTTGCAACTGGATATCCAACTGCTGTACTATTGAGCCGAATTCCGAGAGCAGGCATATGCAAGCATATGAGCCAAAAATCCAACATGTCGCTTGCTTCGAATGTTTCGGAGGGGGATACATCCAATCCAAAATACTGCGAGTGGCACATGTATGTTAGTAATTCTTAACCGCGTGGGAGTCTCGAACATCTAAAATTACAGTTTTCCACGACCGGCCGACCCATCATTAATATTCTGCTGTGAATGGCTCCCATCGTACAGTGGCTGAATACTGGCCTATATTAGGTATACACGCACGGACTCATGACAACAGAATAGCACCGTTCCAACCTATATACCCTACAACTGTAAGTACAATATATGTTTCCGGAATTTCTCAGCCATCTAACAGCTTAAGCTTCAATTCGTAGCTCAAGGACCAATACTGAAAAGATACTTGAAAATAAAAAACTAATATGGACCCCCCTGCCGCAGTCCTCGTCGTTACAGGTACATATTCTAGAGTTATATAACTGCTAAGGTCTCAAAATATGCAAGTCTTTGTCTGTATACATGTACCATCGCAGTACCAACACCATAAACTATATGTATATATGGCCTAGAGGATGTATCTACTTATATGCATGGAGCCGTTACGCAGCTAACCCGTACTATAGTACTAATCGGCGCACGGGTCCGGCTTGAGAAAGCTTAAGACGTTCATAGTACTGGTGGGATATCAAAACATGTGCTTAATGCACATTAACTACGTCTAAAGTCTTTAGTACTTGTATAGGTACTTAATTAAGAGTATAAGAGAAACACCGAGCGTTGTCTGAGCCATAGTTATTATCATTAACCCTGTTTTTTACAGAATGAAACAGCGAGAAGGGACGCTTTGAGTGTCATTTCATACTCGCGCTGATGAACTGTGGAGTAAATAACGTGATATCATGACATAACAAGGTGACATTTGAGAATCCCTATTGTATACGGCCTGATTTATTCTAGGAATGTTTGTGTTTGGAGGAGAAATCCCATTTTGTTTTCGAGAGCAACGGATGAGGCGTGTAGGCCCGATTAGATCGGGAATAGTTTACAGAATCCTGAGAGGATCATATGCGATCTGACAACTTTCCACCACAAACTCCGATTTGATAATTTCCTGTTAACTAAGACAACTGAGGCATTGGCAAGGTTCAAAAAACATTTCTGAGAATGCGTAAACGAAAAGCGATGAGGAAAGATCCGACAAGTATGTGCAAGAATGGTATTGAAACACCGCGAGACTTCGAATCATCTTGGGTGGTGATAGGCGTATAATCAAGAGAAGCGTATGGCATGATCAGAGGCGAAAACAAAAACAAAAGAAAGATAGCATAGCGTAACAAAACCTATTTCCGTGCATCCATCCATCTTCCATCCTCATATTAAAACGTGATACGTGGGTAGGTCAACCGAAAAAATAAAAAGCTTATGCATGTTCCCACTGAACCGTTATTATTCACTAAGGGTAGAGAAGTTATTGGTTAGCTAATAATCCCCCATAACACAGCCGGACCCTTTTCGGACTGCCTTGTTGATAGAGTATTCTTTATCACCAAGTAGTCAAGTCAGGATCTGAGAATCTGGGTGGACTGGACGACTTACGAGATCTTCCATAACAGCGGCATCGACCTGAGGGGCTGTAGCGGGGGCGGCATTCTCAGATCCCTTATAGTAGTCTGCCATTTCCTGGTCGAGCTCCTCAACGGTCTTAGTAGTTCTCTTGATTCCCGAGCCGCTAGCACTTGCACCCTTGCGACCCCCGCGACCTCCGCGGCCGCCACGAGGATTTCGACCGGCCCCGCCAGGACGACCACCAGCAGTCACCGGCTTTGGTTTGTTAGCAGCCGGCTTGGGGGCTGGCTTCTGTGCTGGCTTTGATGGACCGCTAATGCGATCGGCGAAAGCGACCTTAGTGGGGTCAACAATGATCTCCACCTGGAACTATATGTTAGTGAAGGAACCTGGGAAACCCGGGTTGGGAGAGTGGGTGTCTAACCTTCATAGGGCGGTTATCAACGAGACGTCCATTAAACTTGTCGAATGCAATGTTGGCGTGACCGGGCTTGTGGAACTCGATAGTTGCAATTCCAGCGCTTTGGCCATTAGCTTTATAGACTAAGTTGCACTTTTTAATAGTACCGACAACGTTTGTGAAATATTCCTATATATCCGTAAAAGAAAGACCAGAATGGTACTGTCAGATATTGCTTCCCACAAAAGTTGACCATGTCAAAATAATAATCGTAATGCCGCATATAAAATTTGTGAGTAGATGAACGACGAGAGTTGCACATGGTATCATAAATCCAGCGAAATCGGACGACGATTTGGTAATCTTTTGTAGCTTTTGGTAATGGTCCAGATCATTAAACGTCAACATTGCGTAGTCGGATGACTTTCAACTCAGTATATGATGGCTTGATGGCAAGTCAGTGAAGCTCCAAGGCGGCAAAGTCAAAGTCATGGCTAAGTTTCATCAACAAGTTATCGATGGGTCGCGAAGAGCCTAAATGATGTTAGCTTGCCGATTCATGTAGCTGGGAGAGTGAGACTAGTGTACCTTTCGAGAACAATATTGAAGTAATTGCCATTCCATCAACGGAGCCAAGACACGATAGAATCCTGAGCGATTTAGCTGCATCCTCCACGATCTGCAAGCCAAAAGCCGGAGTATTCCATCTGTTGTGTCACACCTGGAGATCTAGCACTAAACGAGCTATGGCCTGCCTCGAAAAAGGGCCAAGAGTAGCTTGCCCCGATGTATCCTCTGAGGTCTATCTGTCCCATCTTGTAGAGTATAGCCAACCCATCATGCCATAAAATGGGCGCGAGCGTTATGGACAACTCGCCTGCATGCAGAGTATGTCCAAACATCAAGACCTATTGTGCCAATATATACCACCATCATCCGCCCATTTAAATCGCTCCAAATTCACCCTCAGGATGGTGGTTATATTTGACACGGCCTCTCAACATAGCTCAAGGTTGGAAAACGCGTCTAAACTACACCATTTCCATATAGAGAAATGTTGTATTCTGAATGAACCAGACTTGAATCGAAAATATTCGAAATATGAGTCATCCCAGTAGCAACGTCGTCGGTCAAGATAAGGTATGATGTATATGGTGAAAAGATTGGTGTGGTAAAGCGGTAAAAAGCTGACGCACGGTTTGGCGTTCAAGAACTTACACGAAGCATGCTTTCGTTTACGTCAAGAGGCTGACGAGTGGATGTTAGTGAATGATCTCATATCTATAGTACGGGTCTGGTTACTCACTAGATTGGAAACTTGAATCTTGGTGTCGTTTCCATCCTTCTTGGTGTCTGCCTTCTTGGCTGGACCTGTTGGTGTGGCAGCAGCGGCCTTCTTCTTGTTCTGTTCAATACGAGCAGAACGCTTGCGAATTCCACCGACGGGGCCAGCCCTCTTGTTATTTCGTCGAGCGTCTCCCTTCTTGTCCTTGAGGATCTCATCGAGAGAGCGGTCGAGATTGGAGGCCATTTTAAGAGATTGTTAAATGTAGAGAAAACTTTTGAGATGATGAGAGTTAGGATGATATCGGAGGCAGCCGAAGAGTTTGAAGAGGGACCGAAGGAAGCCGAAAGGCGAAGGATAGTGATATAATATGAAGTTTGAGCAAATGGACGGGATGGGATGGTATTACAGTTTTGTTATTTGTTATTGTTAAGAGTCAAAGGCGCGTAATCGCGATGAAACTGGTGAGGCTAACGAGGCTGGCTCGAGACGTGAAGCCGCTGATTCTGAGAACAGACAGTTTAGTGGAGAGGATAGAGGGCGAAGATGAAGATGAAGAGGCTTAGGCACGAGATGATGCGTTAGAAGTCGGCTTGTTGGGTTGGAACGTAGAGACGATGGAGGTTGATGAGGTTGATGGAGGAAGAAAGAGGACAGAAGAAAGAAGAAGAATTGGAGGAAATCCTTCAAAAGGAGGCGGAGTCAACGATTGGCCACCACACCCAGTTTCTATGCTGGGACGTCGCAACACGCGACACGACAACAAGGCAAACGCCAACACGCCAACACATCGACACGGTAACCTTCTCTCCAGATCACATTCCCAAACACCAATTGCAACTGCCGAAATATTAATATTAGTGCATCACCATCACAAGAATGCATGACAATAGTGAATGGAGGAGGAAAAAGGACTCTTCTAGCATTACTTTGTATGATCTATGTAAAGATCTAGGAACAAGTACTAAGGTATGTATGTATGTCTCATTTAATTTACAGGACAGTCCCCTTCACCTGCTTCTTGTTATCCAACCTAATATCCCGCCACATCCAAACCCCGACCAGTGTCACTGACGCCATGGCTGTGGCAGCAATGCACATTCTCTGTTGTGCCACCCCATAAGCATACACGATTGCGTCCCTACCAGGGCTTCCAGGAGGATAGCTTAGTTGTGTAGGAAGGCTGTACACGATGTTGGCCACTTCACCCTTCAACTCTGCGGGTAATGCCTTGAAGAGGAGTTCTGGGAAAGTATTCTGCCATATAGCGCCACTGACAGAACTCCCCATTGCTCCACCGATTGCTGCGGCTAAGTATAGTAGAGCGAGGATCATGGCAATATCAGCATGTGTGCCGACAGCGAGACCTGCAATCTCATGACAGATGACGAGACTGCCGCCAGCGAAGGCAATAAAGATCTGGCACATGATAACGAATCCAATCGACTGCCATGGTTGACGGAAATGTATCATCAGGCCGGCACCGAGGATATGGACAGGTACGAACAAAACTCCAATCCATTTGTACCGATTCGTCCGGCGAATAAGGCTATACGGGGGTGAGATTCGTTAGCAGCCTTTCTATCGATTATGTGGAGCGTCGGCACAAGAAGTCTAGACTTACTATCCGACCACAATAGCCCAAAATGTCGAACCGATGCTGTAAATATTACCAACGTATCCAGCTTGTGTGACATCCAGGTTAAAGACGACCTGCAAGAAGGAACTGAAATACAGATCCCAGCAGTAAAAGCCGAAGAACAAGCTGCCAATTGTTAAGCAACCCCCAAAGATCGTTCGGTCACGGAGTAGCCTCCATGGAATGAAAGATTTGGGTGCCCAATACCTCTCGTAGACTGGGAAAAAAACCAAGAGAACAAATCCGACTACTATCATTGAAATGATGTCGCTGCGTCTCCACGACTCTGGGAGAGAGCCAGCAAGATTGAATGGCAAAAGGAAGAGGACAAACCCGGCCATAAGGATCAACATTCCGACGGCTGCGGAACAATGTCAGCTAAGGCTTCTATCGCGCGGTAGGGTTCACTATCATACCGTCAAACTCGATGGCATAATGCTTCAAACTTTGAACTAATGTTCTTCCACTCTTCTCTTTCCTAAGCAAACCAGTCTTCATTGCCTGATTCTGCTTAACAAATAATAATGCTACAAAAGGAGCGAAGACAACGGGCAAGATGATACAGAAGACTCCGAAGCCCTGATCCCAAAGTTAGTGAGACTCAAATCAGTGAAAAGGTTGACTAAAATAGTAAATACCCATCTCCAAGTCGAGTGGTCCAACCAAGCCTGTGCCAATTTTGGGGCCAAAAATGTCGTCATGATATACGGCGACGAGGTATAAGCAAACATCAACCCTCGATTCCTCAACCTCGTTGTATCCGCCACAAAGACAGCCATAATGTACGAAATACCCGTGAATCCCACTTGATTGAATACGTACGCAGCAGCATATGTAGCGACTCCGTCTGTAGCGGCGAGCATAACGAGCCCAATGAGGAATATTATCGCGAAGATAACAAATCCTTCTGCGCGGCCCCAGATATCGATAACCTTGCCAATAGGAAGACGTAGGACACCACCGACGATTGAGGCGACAACTGCGGAAGTAGATATCAAACTGTGACCGTTGAACGAACTATACGCATATGGGAAAAGCGAAAAGGACGATTGACTCTGAAGCGATAGAATGCAGTACATTAACCATATCCTAATCAGAACCTTATTAGTCCCAAAACGTTGAAATACCTAACACTGATATTCAAAAGATGCTGATACTTACCAAGCGTAGAGAAGATACAGCTCCTTCTTTGACCATATCGTCGCAATCGCCTCGACTTTCTTGATACCAAACTGGAAGTCCGAGTTATTCAGATCTTCCACACTCTCAGAGATAAACTGTGGTGCAGAACCCTTTTCAGGGTCTTGTGCTACTGCAGTTTGAACATTTCCTTCCTTAGTTGTCGGCGAGGACTTCTCATCGGTTGGGGCGGTTTTCGCAATCACTTCTGGCGCCTCGTCCCGCTCGTCACGGTAGAAGGGATTGACAATCGGATTGTTATACCACTTCATGGCTAAAGTAGAATATAGGTAAAATTAAAAGAATAAGGAAGCTTTCAACCTTCCAAAGAGATAAATCCTGCATCTGAAAGGGCCAAAACAGCTGGCTTAAATATCCCACCAGGCCCTGACCCTAGCTTTTGCTTTTGCTTATGGTCATCTTGCCCCTCCTTGCACAAAGGTCCCAAAGCCAGGAATGAAATTTGTACTACCGGCTCCTTCCATACGCTGACACTTTCCTTGTTCCCGCATCCTAGAATTTCGACAGCAGAAAAAACCATGGCTAGCTCTGAAACTAATTCCCAATATCGCACTCTGTACACATGCATGGGGGATTTCCGTGTTGGGGGTGTGGCATGCTAGGGTAATCTTATCAGATCCGCATGATGTGGGCGAGCGAAGAAGCCCGGCGGCCGAGGCACCTGCTTCAAACGAGCATAATTTGCAAGGTTATTGGCAAAGACGGCCAATTTTTTCAATCGGCAAAACTTCTCGGGCCTGAACGAGCGGTAACATGTTTGAACGTCATGGACATGAACCGAAAGTAGTATGTATACGATATCGGGGTATATTATCACTCGAAGGAATATTATGATTTACTTTCTAACCAATCAATTCGCAACCATATCGACGCCAAATAGTCGAGTCCCTTGCGAAGAAAACATCATAAGAGTAGAGTATGCGTCGGTTTAATTCAAATTACGTACTCGTATGTTAGTCATACCAAACATCAAGCTCATCGGGCGCGAGCTGTCAGGTGCCAGATGTTCCGACCGGTATGTACCGACACCTGCAAGAACCAGGCTGCCACTTTAGCGAAATGGAAAAGGCCAAAACGAAAAATCTGATAACTTTATTCCTGACCCTGCGTGATCAGATAAAATCTTTTACAGGATTTTCCAGCCCCCAAATTGTGTCTTCAGTGTGCCATTGTGCCCTAACGTTACGCCAAGAGAGCTCTTATATAATTACAATTGAGGAAGTGTAGTTGTATTGCGTGAGGGTCACTTTACAATCGAGTTAAGATTATTAGAAGACTGCATCGCGCTTGACAGTATATATCGAATGCCCGATATCGGAGAGCGGAACCAGAACTGAGTGTTTGGACAATCGTATCATGAATCCCATTTATTTTGCTTTCACGAATCACTCATATAATATCTTTCGGACGTCGAAACCAGAATTCGGGTTTACGACCGAGCCGTCCAAGCGTGTACGTCAGCGTATCTGCACAGTCCCTCGTCGATATTAAAACGTTCCCCCACTCGACCTCCATAATATAAGTGGAGCTGTGGCGAAACTCGCTTTTACCAATAGAAATTGAATATTGCCCTGCTCCTTGTCTCCACCCGACCTGGGACATCGAACAAGCATTTTCCAAGGCTTGAACTTTCAATTGGATCGATGGCTCTTGGGTCGGGTAGCGTATTTTTTCGATAGTTTCTTTTCGATTAATTCGAAGTCAAGATACTTCGGTAAGTGCGCGTGGCCATTGTGCATGCACGTATCGAAGGATCAATATCTATAGTCGACCCGACTCCTTTGCCTTGCAAGCTCCCAGTCAGGAAATATATGCATATACATATACGATCCACTGAGCCGAGGTTATAGAAACTTTACTGCCCGCTGATCAAGGATATTTTGCAATTCTGGCACATAAGGCAACTTAGCTAGCTTGGAAATACCCTAGGATGAGGCTAGAAGGTTGGTTTAATTTTTCCGTGAAGATCGCAGCCTACAATGGACGACTCGGCCCGGTTCGAGAGGGTCCGACAAAAATACACGAAACACCGTAATAGATTCTAGATTCGGTAAAAATATTATTTCACCCCCAGGATCAGCTGCTACCACACATACGTATAAATAAATAGGAATTAGGGGGTGGGAAACGTGGGAACTGAGCAGAGCAGAAATAATCGACTGAAGCAAGGAACAAAGCAAGAAGACGGGATTACAAACAATACAACAGGGGTATCTCGAATAAATACATGAAATTAGAAGTCTAACATATTTGGCTACAGCAGTAAACCCTGGAGTTTTTGAAGCTTTCAATTTTTGTGAGGAACCAGAATATGCTATTCATTCAAACAGCCTTGTCGATAAAGAGATAATCCAGCCGCTTAGCATTGGTCCTCGGCGTATAGAATCCACGGGCCGAAGGCGTTTTCCTAAGAGCTCGGCTCAGAACTCGTATTGACTTCAGGCCGCCAGGGAGATTCACCAAACCCACTAGGCATCTGGAGATTTTCCCTTTTTAGATCTTGGTGCTGGTTGCTAGGGGGTGGTTGGTACCAACTGGGGCACTGAAAAAATTTCAGAGGACCGGTAGGAGCTGCATCACTAGTTTCTCCATGGGTTTGTACTGTGTCGGGGGTTACTTGGGATTCGGATTCAGATTCAGGAGCTTCGAGAAATTTGACACGGATAGGGGTACGTCTCCACGTTTTGCGATATCTACGGCGTGCTCGAGGGCTGTTGAGAGGAATTCCAGAGGCTTCATCTCCAAGTTTTGGTCGTTTCATCATGCCAGTGAACTTTCCAACAGATGCAGTGCGGCGTTCAATGAAGTAAAGAAGTGCGATGAAGGTCTCGCTTTCGAAGATGGTAGCCCAGAATAGGCTTGGTGGATGATCTAGGAGCCATTGGTCGATGTTTTCATGGTAAGGATTATCTAAGCCCCTCTTGACCATTTCACGGTTGACCCTCCTGATAGTTCTGAGTCTAGCACGCTCTATGTGCCATCTCTCTTTGTATTCGAAATATCGGACGAAATGGTGACTAAGAAAATAGGTGAATGCCATTCCGATTGCGAAAATGACGCCAAGTGTAGTCCCTGAGAAGAGCCCTCGACGGGCTTCACCCAACTCTCGGGCAAGTTGCTCGGACGTTTTAGGACAGTAATGGTTTGGAGTTTCGGAAATATTACACACGGTCGTGTTCTCTTGAGCAAGAACGAGGTCTAGGGCTTTGATACCGAGATAGCCCATATCCTCAGGCTCCATATCTCGCTTTTCGAGGTGGAAGTTGTATTGCGACCAAGAGTCGGGACGAAACGTGGCCTGTGGAGGGAGCTCGCCGGATGCTTTTGCCTCGAAAAACTCCTTGTACTGAGCAGTGAAGGTGGAAGATTTGGTTGGTAAGTAGGGATATTGGAGACCGGTCAGATGGGGTTGACGGTTAGGAGCTGTAGGCCATTGCTTGACGGGGAGGCTTCCCGTGATGGTGGAGAGAAGAGCGATGATGATGCAAACGAGCAGCAATTGAGTCTTCATACTGAGAGTTTGCTTGACGATCTAGTCGCGTGGGTAGTATTAATATTGAAAGCACGTGGTTGAATTCGAGGTGAAGGTGATGATTGATTTCATGAAGGGATAGATGGGGATGATGGAGTTGAAGTAATCTTCATCCCCAAGGATATCATTGAGGTTATTGAAGGCGATTAACATGCACCGCATTTTGAGGTTTCTCTTAAATCTGATATCTCCTAGCAACTGACAGCTGCAGTCAGTCGGCTGTTGGCGACAGCGTTGAGCCTCTTCGTAGTGGTTACACACATAAACTCTCAGCAACACAAACACATGTTGGATTTTGTCGGTAAGCTAACCCAATTGATCCTGGCAGTCCCTGTACTCAGTGAACCTGGCGCCACTTTGCATTGGCTGTGGTTAATTATCCCCTAGTTAGTCCCATATTGGCCCCTGGGCAGCTGCAGCTGAGCACAGATTGAGCTTGTAAGTACCTTCCGTTAATACTAAGTAGTTATCGCTAATTTTATCTGGATTTCTATTGATGATACTCTATATATGTATACTGCCACTATGTTTTTATATATTTTATTCCAAATTTAACACTATAATGTCAGATGATGTGCTGTTTTAGCAGCTACTACCTTACGATATCGGACTTTAGAGTATAGTTTGCTCTACGTATAGCGGTCTTAGGGGAGTAAGTAGTAATGTTATGTTGTAACAGCATAAATGGAAGTTATCCTCGTTAATCTTGCATAAAAACATTAACTAATCCTTTAACCTCCTCCACTAGCTCTAATTTACAATCACCTCAAGATTGGGAGCTTGAAATTCCAAACGTCATTTCACGTAAATCAATACATTAACATTAAGAAATTAAGTGAGAAAAAAAATTCACATAAAAGGGGGCATTCCGCTTATGCAAAGGGGAACAAAACCAAGAGAATAATGTTGGCGGAAACGGCTCCAACGATAGTCTTCTTATTGGAGAAAGAAAACAAGCTGGAAGCCGCTCCGGTATATTGAGGAAGAGGATCAACTGTTTGGGAAGGAGCATAGGTTGGCTCCGGGACACCGGAAGGACAATGCCAATGATCTCCATGGGCGACACATTCACCAGGGGTATCATCTTCATCATCGGTAGGAGCGGGCGGAGGTGGAGAAGTGGGCTCTGGGACACCTGGAGGACAGTGCCAATGGTCACCATGAGCGGCACATTCTTCAGAACCAGGGGATGTTGGGGTAGGGTTATTTCCGTCAGTTGGAGGTGGAGTGGTGGGTTCGGGAACCCCGGATGGACAGTGCCAGTGGTCTCCATGGGCTTCACACTGGCCACCTGTTACAACCGGGAGTGGGGTGGGGTTTTGGCTGGGAGAGTAGGTGGGCTCTGGGACTCCAGGTGGACAATGCCAGTGGTCTCCATGGGCTTCACACTCACCAGTTGGAGTTGGGCCGTCGGTAGGTTCGGGTTCAGAACCTGGAGGATTAGTAGGCTCTGGAACGCCGGGAGGACAGTGCCAATGATCACCGTGGGCCTCGCATTCACTAGCTCCAGTTGGGACTGGCTCATCTGTGGGATTTGACCCTGGTGGGATGGTTGGCTCCGAAACGCCAGGAGGACAATGCCAATGGTCTCCATGGGCTTCGCACTCACCAGTTGGAGTAGCGCCATCCGTCGGTTCGGGTTGAGAGCCTGGAGGATTGGTTGGTTCTGGAACACCAGGAGGGCAATGCCAATGGTCACCGTGGGCTTCACACTCACCAGTTGGAGTAGCGCCATCTGTAGGTTCGGATCCTGGAGGGTTGGTTGGTTCTGGAACACCGGGAGGACAGTGCCAATGATCGCCATGGGCTTCGCACTCACCGTTTCCACTTCCACCAGTGTTTGTGGGTTCTGGATTGCTACCAGGGGGGGTTGTTGGCTCAGGAGCGCCAGGAGGACAGTGCCAGTGGTCACCGTGGGCCTCGCATTGGCCTACACCCCCACTTGAACTTGGAGCTGATGGCTGATGGCCCCCAGGAGGAGTTGTAGGTTCAGGAACGCCGGGTGGGCAGTGCCAGTGATCGCCATGGGCTTCACACTCGCCATTTCCGCTTCCACCAGTGGTTGAGGGATTTGGGTTGCTTCCACCGGGAGGGGTAGTCGGCTCTGGAACGCCAGGGGGGCAGTGCCAATGGTCACCATGAGCTTCGCAAGCCGCCGATCCTGGTGCAGTAGTAGTCTTCCTAGTTGTTGTTTGTGCTGGTGGAGCCGTGGGCTCGGGAACACCAGGCGGGCAATGCCAGTGATCCCCATGAGGTTCACAAGTAGCAGCAGCTGGAGTAGTAGTCCTTCTAGTTGTGGCAGACTTTTTGGTTGTAGTGGGTTGAGCTGGTGGTGTTGTGGGCTCTGGTACTCCTGGCGGACAATGCCAGTGATCTCCATGAGGCTCGCAAGTAGTGGCTAGAGCGCCAGTGGTTGTCTTTTTAGTTGTGGTTTGTGGAGGAGGTGTGGTAGGTACAGGAACGCCGGGTGGGCAATGCCAATGGTCGCCATGTGGTTCGCAAGTTCCAACGGTACTAGTTCTCTTAGTTGTAGTTGACTGCGGTGGGGGAGTGGTGGGCTCAGGCACCCCAGGTGGGCAGTGCCAATGATCCCCATGCGGTTCACAGGTAGCTACAGGTGTAGTGGTTGTCTTTTTGGTGGTTGTAGATTGTGGAGGTGGTGAAGTTGGCTCAGGAACCCCAGGCGGGCAATGCCAATGGTCTCCATGCGGCTCACATGTACCAATTGTGGTAGTTCTACTTGTGGTTCTTGTCGTAGACCTCGTCGTAGTTGTGGTTTGAGGGGGGGGAGTAGTTGGCTCTGGCACACCTGGTGGGCAGTGCCAGTGATCCCCGTGCGGTTCACAAGTGGCAGTTGGTGTAGTGGTCGTAGTAGTTCTTCTCGTAGTAGTAGTTTGAGGAGGAGGAGTGGTTGGTTCTGGAACTCCTGGTGGACAATGCCAATGGTCACCATGTGGCTCACAAGTACCAATTGTGGTGCTGGTTCTACTTGTAGTTTTTGATGTAGTTGTAGTTTGAGGAGGAGGGGTAGTGGGCTCTGGAACTCCTGGCGGACAATGCCAATGATCACCATGCGGTTCGCAGGTTGCCACTGTTGTGGCAGTAGTCCTTGAGGTTGTAGTCTGAGGAGGAGGAGTCGTAGGCTCTGGGACACCTGGTGGGCAGTGCCAGTGGTCGCCGTGCGGCTCACAAGTACCGACTGTAGTCGTCCTAGACGTTGTCGTCTGTGGAGGAGGGGTGGTAGGTTCTGGTACACCCGGTGGACAGTGCCAGTGGTCACCGTGAGGTTCACAGGTAGCAGCTGGCGTGGTTGTAGTAGTCTGTGGTGGGGGTGTAGTGGGTTCTGGGACTCCGGGAGGGCAATGCCAGTGGTCGCCGTGAGGAGTACATTCCCCATCCGCAGTGGTAGTCGTCGACGGGTATGGTTCACAATGCCCTGGATAGAATTTGTCAGACCTCAACTAATGAAGATAGGGCCGAGATGGTTTGCTAAGAATACTTACAATGGTCGCCGTGCGCACTACAAATGGAACCGGTTGGGGAGGGAGGAAGAGTGGGAGTCGTGACGCATGGAATGGTAGTAACACTGCTCACAATTCTGTAGCCGTCGGACTCAAGCGCATGAGAATCATAATAAGCAACAGCAGTTACAAGACCGATGCCCTCGTAGCTTAGAGTTCTCGTGTGAATCGGAATGCGAGTTCCTGACCATGAAATTCCCGACGTGGAGTATTTCCCATTGAGGTCGCTAACAAAGCTTGCCAGATTGGGGACAGTAGTGTCGATTCCAAGGCGCGTGCTAGTCTTTGGGACACACTCATTGGGAGCATCCGTTGTCTGTGCTTGAGGGGCTGGCATAGGGACGGCATTTACGCCGCCTAGGCCCAATGAAAGCAGAGCCAGAGGTACAAAAAACATCCTTGCCGTACTGAAGTTTCCCATATGCGGCGGGACAAGACGAATAGACCTATAAAGAAGGCGAGCTGGTTGAGGTGAGGAAATCCAGGAACTTCTCAATCTCAAGCGACCAAAGTAGTCGCACTTTATATCTTTAGGAAATGCATATCAATCATGCAAGTTCTTGTAAAGTACTGACCTTCGAGTCTAGTTACCGGTAAATGTCATTCTGTTTGCTCATAGCCAAGACCGTATCGCTGGGTGGTTGGAAACTTATCGCTACCCATGGATCATTGAACCAACACCTCGTCTCGAAGTAAGCAGCCACAGAGCTAGAAGGGGAACTAAAACGGAAGGAAATGGGATTTGCGACTAGTACTGGAGGATAAATCTTTTCTTTGACAGCAGGTCGCATGCGCGCGCATGGTCCGGACTTCTTGCAAAAAGAGCTTGCAGGGTGTATACTGGTATCATACGATCGTAGATCTTAGTCCGCACGAAGCGAACTTGCATGAGCATGTTGGTCAGTACCCATGAACCGGTCACCTCTAGTGAATATAACGTAATGATTTTTCTGGCCAAGACGAGGCACCTGGGTCGAGGCACCTGGGCCGGTGGCACACACCATTTGCATCCGACTTAAAAATTGTGTTGAAAATGTGGTTGATTCTCGATGATCCCAAAACGGGCTCAATGTGTGTAACAATCGAAATGTGGTATTTTGATAGCCTAACGGTTGTAATGTATAACACGCAGTTGAGAGTCCGAACGTCAAGTATAAGTTGCATTGCATTGGACTGATGCTCGCAGATCATAGCAAGCGAAAACTGGAGTCGACAGTAGGCATATCCTTTTCGATTGAAAGTCTTTTGGTTTCTCTCTAAGTTCGTTTTCTGGGAGCTCTTTCAGCCTAACAGTTCCGAACTGCTGCCAAGGTTATTACAAGACTCTTGGAAGCTTTACAAGAAATCTTGGGAGCTGAGAACCGCAAGGTCCGAACTGCTATATCACCCAACAAAAGCGTGAAAACCCAGCCCCATTTGCGTGGACGAACTCTAAGTTTTTCCCCCACTCACTTCCCGCTCCAGATGCACGCCAATGAAACCCAATGCAACATGACCTGAGCTATTATTTCTTAACCCTCGCATGAATGGCTTGCTTTGTTCATGGAAAGGGATAGATAAACCTGACATATTCAGGTTGAAATCACCTTAGCTGCCAACTATATATGCACCGGCGCGGCTAAGAATTCTTTTTACAAATTTTCGAAAGAGAGATGTTTATTGGCACAAGTGGGTCCCCGAAATAGGATGTACTGTGGAGGCTTTATCTTTTCAAGGCATGCATCGACATCGATAGAAAACTATCGGGTGGGTTCTTCTTCCCAATGTAGGAAAGTTTCCCTTGCAGCTTTGTCCGCCCAATGATGATTTTACGCAAGGATATTACAAACCGTCGCAGTTAACTCCCCATTCAATTTAATCATCTAGAATCTGGAAAGTAAATTTCTTTGGAATGGATATCTACGATACTAAAATATCGAAATATATCGAAATTCTCTGATGATGTCGTAGCTCTGATTTACGAAACAAAAAGAGGACCGAGGCTAAAGGACAAGAAAAATTTTAGAAAATGTTCACGGGTATCATTACGTTACATTTATCTTGCTTCGTAGATATGTTGTCAGAACCAAATTTGGAAGCGAGCAAATCTTATTGCTTGATCTACAATGAGCCATTCTAGTATGCGGTTGCGATGTTCGCGCTAGCGCTGTACCTGCAGTAGTTCAGACCTGTATAAATGCATGTATATAGTATGCTAGGTGTTGGTATCAATATCTGGAGTACTTATAGTACCTTACATATGAACTAGACCCCATAAAAAAAGTAGGCTCTGTATATCAAAATAACGGGGTAATTAACGAGTGTATTTCACTAGAATATAGTCCTTAAGGCATTTTATATACAAGATATTATCGTGGGTATTTTTAACATGGCTCAATGATATCTAATATCCTCCACAACGATAACCATCTCCAGGGCCTAGGGGTGCTGAAGGTTAAAGAACGTAAGTAAAAAACCAAATTTTGACATAGGTAGATGCCATCCGACAATAGTAAAATGTTTTCCGCGTGACTATCAAAAACATCCCAAATTATTGCTCTATCCGGCTCTCTCTTATAAGACTAGTATTAGTTTGAGTTGTAATATAATAAATATTGTCAGGTTTTTTAAGAAGGACATACGAAAGTGCTTGGTTCCATTTGCTAGCACTAGAGCGATATCTAGGAGAGCCTATTCATCGTCCTCGCCATGGTCGTTGTCGCAGTGCCATTCGATACCGGCGTTGGGGACCCCGCCGTAGGTGCAGTCATCGGCTTCTCCATTATGGAGGTGAAGATGGCATGTAGCACCATTGGGACGAACTGCATCAGCGCAGCAGTATGCGCAACCTGTGATATGATCACAGTTGCTTGGAGGAGTGCATACTCTCTTGCTCAAAACATTGACAACCTCAGATCTAGCAACTTGAGGGGCCCTAGGAGCGGCGAGAGCAGCAGTGATAAGAGCAGCGAGGGTGATATAAATTCCCTTCATTTTGAATGTATCTTTGGGTTTTGCGGAATATGTTTAATATTCAGAGAGTAGGAGAAAACTTTGGATGGGTATTAAAGGACTGGTTAGAGGCTGGGACTTGCTGATGATTGATTTGAGTGATTGATCTGAAATACCCAACTGAGGGATATAGACGGCCTTTTTATACTTCTGGGCTCGTAGGAGTACCTCATCAAGACAATTGTCAAATCTTACCTAAGTCTACCATTTTTTATACTTCTACAAAGGATACCCGTAATGAAAATATCTAGGATGCTTGCTGAGTATCCTGACGAATAAATGTGTGTAAGGCGGGGCGAGCTGTACGGTAGCAGTGGTAGCTTTAGGAGTGCCTGAGGAAAATATTGTTTGAACATCTGATTCGACAAGGGCTAGTCTTTTTTTATGGAGAAGGGGAAATTGCTTTGAGGTCCCCGGAGGCTACTAATCCGTCTACAGCATAATATCGTTGCAGAATCAATCTCCTGCAAATACATGCATGAGGTGCATATCAGCATATCGACTAGTAGGTAACTCGATATCATTCAATCATCTGTTTCGCCCATATGTAACTAGAATGTTTACAATTTGCCAAGGCCATCCGGAAGCGGCCTTACTCAATTTATCCAAACGAAGCCAATTCTGTTAGTTAGCGTTCAAAGGATCGAGAATTAAGGTGAAGAATTAATATTAAGACTCAAAGTGCAGGGCTGTTGCATTTTACTCCATAGAAACCGTGGCGTATATGACTAGAATCTTGGCGAGGACTCTAAAATTTCACCTGCATGACCACGCCGTTCAGCATCCCAGAAATATTGGTCACTTTAGCGAAAGATTTGTCAATTGCAATGGATCTGGTGTCTACGTTTGCCCCCGCGGTTCTAGCGGGTACGTTGAATTCGAAAGATAGCAGTTCGGAGCCTTGCTTGCATGAAATAGTTTACTCCCAAGGGTCTTGGCAGCACTTCGGAACTCTCAGAGAGCTCGCTGACCGCTTGGCGAGTGAATTTCCAGGTCACATTTCGTTTCTCGAGGTTGCTTATACCCGGAACATCATTTACCACTTGCAAGCTTGATAGATCCGGCCATTTTAAGTTGGTAGCTAGGACGGATGGGCTAGCTTTCCACCCCCAAATTCTGGGACTATTCTTCCTAGATAAAGAAATATTATTAAGTAATTGATTCCTTCTTCCTTCCCGTTGGGTGGCTCAGTTCGTATGACTAGAAGCCAAATAGATCGCCTTCTCCCACGTACTACGATCGGTGAACCTTGGCGGGGGGTAGAGTTTTTCGCGGTTTGGACAAGCGGGTAAAGCCGAGAAAGTCTCGGACGACAATCACAGGCTTTATTTTCTACCGACTACTTAATGCCGGTCAAACATACCCTCCTATCTTACGTCTTGGTTGGCACTATAACTTCTGTAAATACTGTATGGTACTGTGAGGCTAATAGCTAATGGACTTTCCCCTAAAATGCAAGATTTTACTTAAGTTGGGGGGCCAATAGATGGCTGGTCCATCTGTACCTGAATGCACCTATCAATCCTTCTTCTCAGTAAATATGTCTTCTAGTAATTCGAAAAACTGGTCATATCAATATTATCTGTCATAAGTATCTAGGCATGAGAGTTGAAAAGCTGCCCGCTAACTAGCTACCTAGTCAGAACTTTATTATATCATCAGAGTCTCGAAATTTAATTCAACAAGATCAAAATTTCCTGTCCGAAGGAATGTGGTCAAAGGCATCACAGTAAAAACCTAAATAACTCATTCAAGATATATATACAAAATGAAGAAGCCTGTGTTACCTTCTGGATACGCTACTAGTTATGAATATGTTGCGTCGAGCGCGGCTCTCCTGCCTCTAGGAACATCCCGAAATTCCAAGAGCACTAGCAGTAGTTGAGCCAAGGCCAACCCAACTTCGCATAGCGTTGATGATGGATAAATCTCTATGCACTCTGGTATACTTCCCCTGCGACATTGTGTAGCCGCATGCATTGGCAACATATGCTTGATCATATGGTACACCGAGACATGCACTTCGAGGCTGGTTTCCAGTGTACAAAGAACAATCACTCTGGCCATCCGGGTACCCAGACGCACCATTATTCATAAACATATAGCTGGAAAGGATATTTCGAATCTGCCAGTTGCCATCGGTTCTGGTGAAAAGTTGCACTTCAAATGCTCTATGTGCTGCTACGTCTTTAGACTTGATGAGAACTGATCCTTTGTCTTGCATATCCCGGGACGATGAACCGGGGCTATCATGGATAGATTAGCATTTCATAGAGGTCCGGTCGTGTTTCGTAATAGATTGTGTACTTACTTTTGTTGATCGTGATCATCATTTTGGATGACAAATCGTGTGGAGGGTATAATCCAGGATCCACAAACGGGGTGTTCCTTAGGGTAATCGGAGCTCCAAATTTTTGTCTTATCAATATCGGTCTGAGAGAAACCAACCGCGCTGAGCCTGTTGTTAAAGTTGGTATACCAAGACCATTCCCCTCCGCCACATGCAAGGAGGTTTGCTTCTCCACCCATAATAACTTCGTGCCAGGAGATCCAATCTGCAGGTAGTGTGCCGCCCCCAAGCTTTTGCTTAAAACGAGCGAGAATCTGGGCCGTGTTTGTTGGGCCGATATGTTTGGCCGCATCGACTCTAAATCCGCTGAAACCAATTGACAACAGATCCGCTAGATACGTGGCAATGCGGTCCTGAACGTATGGCTTCTCAGTCCTGAGATCCACCAATCCTATTTACGCCCAATACGGAAAATATCAGCAAGTTTTTCAAAAATGATAACATGCCTAACGCGTAGGCGGGCAGAATGGAGGGTGAGAATTCCCGGGAAGCGAAATCCTTACCGACGAGCCAACAATTGGTTATAATAGCTCCATCTGTCCAACTGTTAAGAGCGCAATCACAATGGAAGTCACTAGGCCCATACGGAACAGATGGGTATTCTGGAGCTGGTCTGGTCCCGCTGTAAGGGTTAATCAAGTAAGTATTGCCAGAAGTGAAATACGGGGAGCCATCGGTAGAATTATGCCCGGTATAAGTACTACAGTCGGTGTTTCGATGGTTCTGAATATCGTTCCCGTTGGCTGTCATGTGGTTGATAACAGCATCTGCATACACACGAACACCAACAGAGCGGCAAGCTTTTATCATGTTCCTAAGTTGTTCTCTTGTTCCCGAACGAGAGTGGAGGCGGTAAGAAACTGGCTGGTAGACGAAGTACCATCTATAAAAAAAAGGTTAGCTAACTTAAATATCATATTGGTGAGGGCCAAGATCTGTTTAAACTTACGGACGAAATTGGTTATCGGTCTCATAATAGTTCGATCCCCAGACCTATTCACGCGGCTTAGTATACGCAAGCCGAGAAATCGTCATTTCGACAAACATACGTGCTCCTGTGGAGGCCAGATCTTGACACCCATGTATCCCGCTTTGCTCAAAAACGCACATTCTTTTGCAACGTCACTGGAAATCAGATAAATTAGCACGGAAAGTGCATAATTGAAGTGGGGCCAGGTTCAAAGCTTACTCATAAGGCCACCCGAAAAGTTCGACAATGGCCCCCTTTTGGCCGTCATTGAAGTTACTTTGTCCTCCGGATATCGCAGGATTTTCCCACAAGAAGTAAAGGGTCTCTAAATTTAAGGATCCCCCAGTTGAGTCTGTGACCCTAATATTGAGCCCCCCGGTATTTGCACTCGAGACCTGAACCAAATTCGAGGTTTGTGCAACATTGTTAACGTAGTAGGTCAAACTAGCGCCTGTCTTGCTCAAACAATTGATGACAACGACGGCGGCGGTTCTGGCGCTATTATATTGAATATCGGCATAACCGACAAGTTTTCCGTAAGACTGGAAGGAAGATATATATTGTGGGTCGCTTTGAGGAGGAGTCTGCCATCTTCGGTTCTCAGAAGAGTCGGGGAAAGAGCCCGAAGAGCATGAGTCCCTCCCATTAAAGTTTCCGCATCCTGAAGGGGATGTTGCAGGTGCCTCGTAGGGTACTGGCTCAACCCTAAAAGACGGTATTGCTGAAGGAGATACGGTCCCCGTGAATGATGGATCGCCGGTTGTACTTGTAGCTAATGTTGAGGCGGTCTCCGATGTAGTTGTAGTAGTTCCTACCGTAGTCGTGCGGCTGGTCGTAGTTGTAGTAGTCGTTGAAGATGTTACCTGAACATTCACATAATTTCCAGGATAATAGTATCTTTAATCAATTGAATTCATGGGTTGAGATATTATCAGCAGCCTTATCTCTAAACTGAGATTAACGTAGCTTTGAGGGGATCCTTTAAAAGAAAAACTTACGAGGTACCGCTAACATCATATTTGATGTAGAGCTGGGTCGCGCCGACAGCTGTTCCAGAGAAAACCCAGGTTTCATATCCATTGACGGGTCCGGAAGAATATACCGCTTTCATTGGCGTGCCCTGCCAGTTGTTACCTTGTGCCCAGTAGACCGATACTACCTTTTGATAAGCAATATTCTGGATCTATCGTTGTTGAATGCGGTTACGTTACGGTTAGAGCTAATATTCCGAACCATATGTAGGTATGTATGCATAACCATGCACTCCAGCGACCAATGAATGAATTTTGTAATTTACTTACGTTGATAGAACCGGACAGTATATTGTTTGAGTACGCATAAGAGTTCAGACTGACTTGGACAGCCCGTCGACCGAGTACACTCGCGTGTATTGAGCTGAACAGACATGTCAGCGAAAAAATGAAGAACCTCAAAAGACCCAAGAGCTTCATCTTGGATTAGCACAAAGCTAGAGTGAATGTTTCTTGGCTAGACAAATTCAGTCTTGTGCTTGGGGTGGATGGTGGTATATTCTCTTTCTTCTGGGCAATCGACGAGTCTTTTATATAATGATAATTGTATCAATTGCAATGTCGCTTGCAATGTTCTTGAACCCATGCCACCTTCAAGAATTCAAAGCAAAACAAAGCTTACTCCCAAACTAAAAACTGTGGGGATCTCTTGGCTATCGAAGTGGCATAGACACTAGCCCCCAAAAATCTGACGGGTAAAAGCATTTTGACGGAAATATGCGGTGTCGATACTATAATATCGATATATCAGCTTCAATATGTGATACTAACCCGAATTCGTCTACGGGCCATGAGCACAGGTCCCAAAACCCTTGGTAATCTCTCAAATTATCCCGTGCCTGCATCTGCCTTTTTCTTTCTTTATAATCAATTATAATATAACAATGATACTGTTGAAACAGAAAATTCGGATGAAACTGGCTGTGGAGACCCCACAAATCCTGCGGGTTGGTCGCACAGAGTCGTCATCAGGTTCCAAATGTGGGGTTTGATCAATCGAGCAGAAGTGGGGAAACCCCGGTTTGCCTGATGACGCTCAGGCGCCAGGAACACAATTGCACAAAAACAGAACTTTCGATATCACACGCGAAGCTATGAAACACCGGTTCAGGGGATCTTAATGTGTTTTTGCGCCTGGTCCGCGAAGCCGACTATAAGACCGATGAGAAGATAAATTACTTATTTAGGAACAAGGCCAGTGCGGTGGTCGGACTTTCACAGGCTTTTGCGGAGCGGGTCGCTGGGGTTCTTTGGGACTAGTGTCGGTTTTTAGGCCAGGAACAACCGCGGTTTGTTCTTCGACTCCACAATTCATGCAGCTTTCTGTAGCCGAATTTTTGTTCCTTGGTTCTCATGACCACAAAGCTGCAAGGGCGCATGAGTATCCGAGATCGCTTGCCGATAATCTTCTGTGGAATAGCGCAATTTTAATCCTGCGATTCGTCTGATATTGAGATTATATTATATGCATTGCATATATGCGCAGATGTGCTTGGAAATGTCCACATACAGTACATTAAGTTAAGTTCTGAATATTAATATCGATGTATCATATTATCTCCTCAACCCGATAGCAGCTGGCAAAGACCCTAGGGTTTAACGTTTGACCCATAGCGATATCGTAAATCACATGCCCGCTCGATTCGACTGACAGACTCCATCTTTGGAATTCTAGAAATCGAACCCTGGCAACTAGGGTATTTTCTGTTTTATGAATCCTAGAAATGGATAATCATATCTTATATCAAGGTGCTGATTAGCCGATATATAAAAGAATTCTTTCGGTCACCTGCCCGCTATTATGGGTCACGGAATTTGCCGTAATTCTACAGCCTAGACCGCTTCCATGGTATTTGCTCCAATTTTTATTGTCTCTCAATGGAGGTGCTGTGGATAAACGGCTGCTTCGTCAACCGATGTCCCAAGCAACTCGGACTTAGTAGCAAGAGAGCTAGAAAACCCCGAATTTTGCTTCATCGAGGATCTAGATTTAGTGTAGAGTATTTTTCCTTTTTACATTAGGAATGCATTAATGTCAGCAAATATGCAAATTTGATTTATGACGAAGGCTTAACAATAACAAGTCTGCGGGTCGTTTGATCCTAGGACACGTATGTATCCCCACAGCGGTTGGAGTAGAAATGGCTTGCGTATGCGTTCGAGCGTCGGTCATAGATTATATCAAAGCGGAATAGCTAATGCCCGCACAGCGATAATCCTTGAATTCGAGGGATATTTGGGAAGTATTCTGGGACCCACTTGCGGCATTTTCTTTCTTTTTTAGGCCTCATGATCTTGTCTCGCGGAGATTCTTGAGATTGATAGCTATGGCTGATCTCGTTCTCAACTACGACCAGCGACAGTTATATGGGCATGTTCTCTGGAAAGGAAGAACATGCTCTTATCTCTTTTTGTTGACTGCGTCTGCAATACGGGTGTACTCCTATCCTTCTTTCATCACATACAAATAAATTTATATAATTATAACAGACATCTCAATCTTAAGATCGATCGACAGATGTATATACATCGCTATTTTAGATCTTTATATAGCTGCCCATGGACCCAATCTCTTAATTCACCGACACGCAACTTAACTAACCTGCGAACTATCGATATATCACATGCGATCAGACTAACTCGAAATATGAATGTCACTTTGGGATGAAATAATTAGGCGTAGGACGGTCCGGTGTATTTTCTGGGGAAACTTCATCTGGTCAGGTAGATATATATATCGAACTAAAGAAGTATCCGAAGTTGTACCTTCATTAGGCCAACGTAAGGCGTTCGTTCTTAGTAGCCGGTATAGGCTACATATATCGAGGCGCCCCCATATAAGCGCATAGCTATACGCATATTTTCAATAGTACTACTATTAGCTAATGAATTGGTAAAATTAGAAACATAGATCTGATGCACAAATGGTAGAGGATTAAGAGGAATGTCCTTTGATTTACGTTGCATAGGCAAGACCTTTATTATAACATTATCTAACGCAAATTTATGAGGTGTCTCTGAGATGTGCTACATGTACTAGTGAGATAAATGTCCACATACGTAAAATTTCCTTTGCTCCGCCTGCGAATCAAGATACCATAAAGGCCAAAGATGTACGGTACCTGAAGCGAAAGTGAAAAAAGTACCCTAGATCTAATGCTCCGAGATATTCCGAGCGGCCTGATCAAGCATGCGTGACTATATTAATACAACATATGTTATATGTAGCAATAAGGCTTTAGGCAAAATTTGGAAAGTCGGCGGGGCTGAGGGAGTGCATCACAGGTCGACAGCCATTCTGTATCCAACCCTATTTTTTGAGACGAGGCCCTTTCTAGCCTCGTATCTAAGGTCTTTTTTTAATAAATGATCAGATTCCGCCGACCTAGCTAATCGCACAAACTATGTTGACCTTGACTCTATTTATGTATGTGGCACCATAGCTGAAGTAGAGATATTGAATTGTGATATAAAGGTACGGTCGTTTCAGCTTGGTTGCGGATCCAGATAATTTACACAAGTGGGATGCATTTTAAGGTAATGACAACGAGACTTTCATACCAAGGCTACCCAACGATAAAGTGTACCGTTTACAATTTCTAGGACAAAAACTGGAACTTGGAAACGATGTATTACGATATCGAGAATGGTGTCTTAGCGTTTTGGGTAGAATCTATAGTATTTGGCACTTAAACTCTAGTCTTTTGGGGACTGCTAACGAAGCTACATATTAAACGAGTTGTTAGTGTTTTGAGCTATGCTGTCCAACATCTAGTCTCGGCTAGATCTAATTCTGTAGCACTGAGAGGCTATCCCATACCAAAGCCCAGCACCAAGATTTTGGACTTAAACCTCTAAACTACAACCAAACCCATATTCGTGCCTCTACGATTGAAACGCCATCTAAAACAACAATTTTATCCTCAGATCGGTAGATACATATATTCCCATTTATCATTGAGACACAAGCATTAGCAAAAAGTAAACTAATATATAATCCAATAGACTCACCATTGAAATGCGGGCTTCTATCATTCTCGTTGCCGTCCCGGGAGCTTTGTCCCTCCCGTTGCCAATCTACCGCACCGGTATCGTAGATACAAGCCCTCTCACTCAACCATATCAGCCACCAGATTCAAATGAAGCTGGTGGTAGCATCGGGTCCACCAAACCTTTGAAAAATCCAACGATCCCTCTCCCTCCAGACGGCATGTACGGTCTTCCGTACGTTGAGCGACCTAAACCAAAGGTCCATGCCAATCCAATGATGGCGGTCGACCCGGTTACTGTTGTTTACGTCCCGACGACTGCCTATGCCCTCCCTCAAGTCGCTGTCGGAACCGCCATCGTTGAGTAGGTTGCGAAGCTTTTAGCTGGAGGAACTGTGATTGGTCTTCAACTAGGACTTAGTGGAGGATATTTTGTTCTTTTTCCTTTTATTGTTTCTGCCTGCAGGCCGTTCGCATCAATTATTCTGTTGGACTGTCAATATCCAATGTTTGTTTGTTTGTCAGGTTTTGTTGTTAGCGTTGCATTTTGAAGTTAAGCGCCACAAGCGCGATGTGGCGGCTAACTCATCCAATCTCGGTTGGTCAACCTCATCTCTCCCTTATCGCTGCACTGCTGGCGCTCGCTCACGAATTCTGAATTACAAAATACACCAATCCGATCATCATCAAAGGCGTTTTCTCCCTTCCAAAAGTTCCCATTTAGATCTTTCTTTATATCTCAGTTCTTTATTGTATTGGTCGCTGGTCGATATCTGCCAAAACTTGTCAGCTTTGTCGCATACACGTATATAATACCTCCGAATAATCTCACTATCAACCGCTAAACCTCAGAGGACCACCACGCGTCATCCGTCATTTCACGACTTTATCATCATCAAAACATCATAGTTTACATCGAAAGAAGCTTTAACAATGGCGACGCCGGTTGCTACCTCGTTCGATACAAATCCGGACACAGATCTTGCTGGTGCCACCTCCGAAGATGTCGATATGACATCTTCTGCGCCTCAAAACGCCACAGATGCTTCGATGGCTACCACAGTCGCGAATACAAATCCTAATGCCACCAATGGTGTATCGATGGATATACCCGGCGAAAACGGACCTATTATGAATGGTGGGGTTCCAGGAGACATCGATATGAGGGGCCCCCGACGGGAAAGGAATCTTCGAGAGTTTCTCGGCATGATGGATGAATATGCTCCCATTGTAAGTTCTTTTTGTTTTTCGCCTACACCTTCACGTTCTTTTGGATTGTTTATAGCTCTATCATTTTACATGCTCTACGGAAGTGGATATGTTTATCCTTGTTATCCCCATTGTTGTTCTTGAAAGTGATCTTGAAGGCTAACCAGGTGGCAAATGTAGATCCCAGATGCTGTGACGGACTACTATTTATCCCTATCGGGTTTCCAAACTAGCGATGTCCGTATCAAACGTCTTCTAGCTCTTGCAACCCAAAAGTTTATTGCCGATATTGCCGCAGACGCGTACCAATACGCCCGGATCCGAACCTCTTCATCAAATGCAAACGCGTTCACAGCCGGTGGGGCTCTCCCCGGTGCCGCTGGAGGTCCATTAGGCGGTACCGGCGGGGGTGGGGGTTATGCTACAAGTGGACGAAGAGGTGGGAGAATGGTTTTGACTATGGACGATCTCGGTGGTGCAGTGGCTGAGTATGGTGTTAACACTAAGAGACCGGAGTTCTATCGGTGATTTAGCATGGATACTAGCCAATTGTGGCTATTTGTGGCCGGCAGACTGTTGTTTCCTATGATTTATCGGGGTGGTTAGATTGATTAATGATCGTTTTCCTTTGCTGCGGCTGGGGGGAGGATGGTATAATGTGGTTGACTGTTGATCTTTCCCTTTTTTCCCTCTCGGTCCTATGATACAAATGTACTTTTAGCATGTCACGGGCGTTCATTCTTTTTTTCTTCTCGTTTTCGCTTCTTCTTCTTCTTTGTTTTTAACTCTTTCTTGCATCGTTAGTTTACTTTACTTATGTATCCATATATTCATCGTCTCTTTTAACCTGTGGATAATGGCACAATTCGTCTAGACATTCTGGATCTGTCACCTTGCAGTGCGCTCTCCAAAACCCAATGGTACCTCCTCTTTCTCCTCTTTGGACGGTATTTTTGATACCTGCACGTAATAAAACGACTTGCTGGCTCCGCTGCTCGACCACGGAATCCATGGAACTGGCTGGTGGGTGTTCCTTCTTGGATCGAATAAACACCCTGGACTGATACCATGAGGTCAATCGATTGGATATTAATAGTCGACGGGGTTTGAGAGGAGCCGGATTGGTGCAAGCCTTATTCTAGAAAAAGACGGGGTACTACTGTCAGGTACGTAATGGGATTGAGCAAGAAAAGAGGTAGGTTGGTAACAAAAGTTAGTGGGAAATGGCGTATATATTATTATTATTATCCAAAGGTGGAGAAACCCTGGAGGGTTGAGGATGTCGCTGTAGATCTGACGGCGTATATATTGCGTTGCGCAGACGGCGGTATTTCAAGAAAATTCATGGTTGGAGGAAGAGCGACTTTGAAACCAAAAAAGCCGAGAACTTGTTAATTTGAGGGATATAAAGGGGCATTCGGCGATGGAGATTCTGGGAAAGAAAAAAAAATGTGAGAAAGTCAATTTCTTTCGATGGGAAAGGAAAATGCGACGGGTAGTTCTCAAGCTATGTGGGCTGCTGCACAGCAGGCTTTCAATTAGCTATTAGACAATTGAAATGAAAACACATGGACGGCGTTCAGGCTGCAATACGAAATCAAAAGGATGTGAAACCGAGAATCGAGAGCATGGTTTAAGAGAGCAGCAGGAACCTGGGTATGTCTCGAGAGATAAATGTTCTTGCTGGAGCTCGCGCTCTTGAAGCCAATGCAATTGAGCTCTGCAAGATTGATAGATAACCAGATGTCGGTAAGTCGCTTAACCGGCTTATCAGGGCCACACACAAGCCATGGCGGGGCCAGAATTCCAGACTAACCAGGCATTTCCTCTGGATCTGGTCATGGCTTCTAAAGTAAGAAACTTAAGAGTTCCGTCGGAAAGGTTGAGTTAATCCGGGATCAGCGAAAAGTGAGGTCGTGTTATTAGCATTGGTTAGGGCACCGATGAGTTAAGCGGACCCCGTGACTATACCCCGGACTACAGGCATTAGGCATGAGGCCATGGCCGTGACCAAGTGACGTTGGATTCTGAGACTTCAGGCTGCTCAGAGTTAGCTGAAGTGCGAGTGGCCAATCATCCTGACGGCTATCTTGTTCGGAGAATTCTTTAAGAGGGCCCATGTGGATGATCCTTTGGCTCTGCTTCGCTAGAAAGCTGAAAATCCAGAATTCCAACGAGCCAGAAAAAAAAAATATGTGCTCTAAAGGGACCAGCTGAGGTATATCCCTCTTATATGATTATTATGTTGGATGTCGGTTCTCATGAGAGGAATGGGAGTAAAAGTGTTAGTCAAAAGTATGCAAACGTTGCGATCATCTTGCATAAAAGAAAGTATGTCGTAGATTTTCCTCTTTTCATATTCTTTCGTTTTCCCTAGCTTCCCGAAGAAAGACCGGGATGCAGACACATAAGAGACGTCAACGGCTTTTGGGAGCCCTAGCTTGTCGATAGTACATTAGACGAGCGAATAGAGAGGAAGAGTGGGTGGTTGTGGGCCGCACAAAAGGTAGGGGAGGAGCATTACCTATTAAATGCCTCAGCCCGGTTTGGCGCATGCAGCCAGCTGCCCTTGATCGGGCGACGGTGTTAGGTCTGCTGGGACAGTCTGATAAGCCAATGAACAAGCCTGGACGGACAGGCTGCTTCCCCGGTATCAGAGATAGGATGGGAGCTGTGAAAGGGCCCAGAACTAGCACGCATCATGGAACCCATGTTTGGGAGCTGATAACTGGGGGCTATAAAGCCGGAGGACGGTCCACGAAGGGTGGTTGAAGGGGGTTCATTCTTATTTTTATCTTTTATCTCCCTTCTTTCTTCGTTGTATCATATATCCTTTTGAATTTTGAATCCTAAGTATACGTACATACACACGTTAGTATAGTATACATTATAGATTCGATCGATACCGTATATATATCGGATATCTAATTAATGAATTTGATTTGATTATAGCGAAGTACTTGCTTACCTACATTATACTGATATCTGATCCGATCCGATCTGATCAGAGCTGGGCCGAGGCATTGCATTGAAGCTAAAGAATTGATCAAGCATTCCCTAGAATCGCTATTAATAGCTAAGTACCCTAGGTAGCTAGCTAGACCGGTGGGTGGTCTCGAGACAGGGATATCGATACCGATTGCATTGCATTTATATTAAGAGACATCAATCATCTTGATAGGCATTGGTTTATCAGTGAAGTTGGAGATAGTGGATATAAGCGTATTCAACGTTTAGTATATAAGAGAGAGGAAGATAGAAAGAAAGAAAGAAAGAGAGAGAGAAAGAAAGAAAGAAA